GAGTGGATTGAAGCATGAAGTCTGTTGAAGCCACAGCAGGCAGCAATACACTCATCTGGTCTAATGAGTTTGGCATTGCAGCTTTTCTACTCCAGACCCCTGGATTCAAATCTTGTATTTCAGCCTCAAGCAAAACAATCTTGGTCAACATCATGTTGCCTGCATACAACTCCTCTGGCTCCTCCTAAACCAGCACAAGCCATTGTAGCAACTTGATTTGAGTGAATAGGCTGTTTAAGGGAAATCAGAATGGGAAAATAAGCCCAGACATCTTTGCCTCAGAAAAATCAAACTTGTGTAAGCTGGTTGAGTGACATACTTTGTGTGGAATGCATGCTAGTTTATGCACTATCCATGATAATTATTTGTGAGTACATCAGTATAGATTTTTATTTATTTTTCCATTTAATACTACATGTCTCTTTTTTCACAGATATTGCACCTGCCCACTGCCTCCTCTCTTCATGGACAGCAAACTGGATGTAAGAATTATTTACTTACATTACACTGTCACAATCTCCTTGCCAGTTAATGAGTCTGGAATTGTCAGCCAATGGGTATCTGAGATCTTCATTTTAATTTTCTGTTCAGCTTCCAGAAGAAAACGGTCAAGGAAAGGGAGGTTAAGAGCTGATATGAGATTCCCAAACACTCCTCACTGGCAGAGGGTTTGTCTTTGGGCAATTTCTAGAAGTGTCCAGTAGCTCCCTCTATGGAGATTTGTGGACTGCTGAACTTCTGCAACACGGACATACTGGAAGGGAAAGGTAGGTTAAACACCCAGAGCACACACCCTCTGCTCTCCTGGAAACTCTGCCCAAGGAGCCATTAACAACACAAAAAAAGACTGCATATTTCTCATAAAAGAGCAATGTTAAAGGCTATGGACCTTGAATCACGTGTGAAAACCCTTGAATCAAGCCGTTCTAAATTGAGAAGAACCCATCAGAGAGGACACAATCAATATAACTCTTGGTTTTTTAGAGAGATAGAAATTGATACTACCCATTTTAAAATCCCATTTATACTTATGATCTCTATAAGCAAACCAGTAAAAACTCAAAAGTAGTTACAGGAAAACACAGGTTTACCTGGCATGTTTTTCAACATGGGAATGTTGAAATGTAGATCCAGAGTACATCAATGAATTTCTTTCAAATCTCTAACCAGTGAGCTAGGAGGGGCCCAACTCTCCTAAAGGCAGCAGCAAAGCTGAAACTAAAAACACAGACCTGTGAAGAAGAGAAATGAGCCCCCTACCCACCCCCACGCCCCCAAAAAAGGGTTGGCATTGCTACTTCTTTGTTCAGTGGAGAGAACAGAAGAGAAAAACATCATCTTTCCAATGTCAGTTCCCTTACATCAGGTACTTGTGGCAACAGTACAAAATACAATATTTTTATGATTAACAAAGTGACAAACAGGGTTACCAGCTGACAGACATTGTTGTCCACGAGGAAGACATTGAAAATCTGGAAAATTGGAATTCTTCTTAGAGGTCTTTTCTGGTGGCAGGAAGAAGAAAGGAGAATCTCAAATCAACACTTCTGTGACTTCACTTCAGAGAATTTCCCTATTAAAGGTTTGAGTCTTCAGATTTCCTGGAGATTTAAACAGAAAGAGCCAAAGACAACAAAGATACCACACACCTCATCTTGCTCAGATGTATGTTACAACAGAGCAAGCAGAGTTTTTTTTTTAGAATAGCTTCTGCAATTGCATATCACACACCTTCATTTGTACTGGAGATGTGTGTAAATGTAAACATTAATGTAAACATTTACTCCAGTAACCATTACATTTCTCCATTATGATACAACATGCTAAAGTGAATGTAAGCTAATCTTTCTCTGAAACTGAAGGCAACTTGCAAAGCCTTTTTGAACAGCACTGAGCACAACAAACGCCTACACACTCAACAGCCACTTACATGAATTAATTTTTAACACATGAATCTTCTTTTCAGTCCATGGTGAGATCTGTGCTGCCAGCAAGCAGAACCTCAGCTGCACAGTTTTAGGTAACACTGATACCACACCAAAAAGACATGCTGAAGATTTTTGAACTCTTAAGTTACATTACCTCAGGAAGCAGCAGTAGTGAATGCCAAACAGAAATAAGACATCCCTGTTTAAGAGTTGTCTTAGAGCCTCCAAAATCAACACAGTTCAAGATAGACACATTTTGTGCAGCTATGCCCTCTTCCATTAAGGAAATGCCTGACAGCACCACACCCTCAGATTCAGCAGCAGCACTGGTATCAGCAGACAGGCACAAAATACATGTGTCACCAGCCTCCTCCAGAACTTAGATTCCATCTTTCATACAGGTTGAAGCCAGTAAGGAATAGGGATATAAGCTACACTACAGCTATCAAAGCAGGCCACTCTCAAACTTGGAATTATTTCCCCCTTCAATTCTCATGAGAACCCTTAACTTACTCAGTCATGATGTATCATTTACAGAGGTCTCCTCTACTCAAAGTTAGCTTGAAATGTATTTTATCTGAACTACACAAATACCAATGAGGATGATTTATGCTTCCAATAAGTTGTACCTCAACAGACTTCACATAGCTACTTACTTAATTTAGACATTAAGAAACAAACTTATAATTCAGCAAATCCTCAATAAAACCATTTTATGAATGGAGTAACAGTAACTAATGCATTTGCCCAAGGCCACAAAGTGGTAGAACAGAAGCCAGTACTTTTCATAGACTCATGGAATCATTTTGGTTGGAAAAGACCTCAGAGATCATCAAGTCCAACCTTGATCCAATCACTGCCACGTTACCACTAAACCATGCTCCCAAGTGCCACATCCACACATTTTTTGAATATTTCCAGGGTGGTCATTCCATCTCCTTCACAGCCTGTTCCAATGCCTGACCACCCTTTCGGTGAATAAATATTTCCTAGCATTGAACCTAAACCTTCCCTGGCGCAACTTGGGGCCATCACCTCTTACCATGTCACTGGTTACCTGGGAGAAGAGACCAACCCCACCTGGCTACAACTTCCCCTCAAATCTCCCAGACTAAACCATGCTTATCTTCACCTAATTATGCAATTATTATAAAAAAGTACGATTTGCCTTTAACTTCTCCTCAAGGGGCACAACATCAGATCCAAGGAGACTCATTCAAATCCAAGGAGACTCATTCTTGGTGCTTTCTGTTTAGAATGCGGGAGCACATCTCATGTACCAATACACCACGATGGAGCACATGGCAAATATCTTTGAAGGATATTACAAATACATACATATATTCCTCAAATGTAAAAAGCACAACTTCTGCTGTCTGCACCCAGGATCTCAAAAAAAAAAGGAAAGCAGTCATAATCATGTCACTATTTAAACTGCTTTGTTAGTAGAGAATAAAACCAACTTTCTTATCTAATTCCTAGTGAAAACAAATGCTATGAGTTTTCTAGCACCATTAAAAATCTCAGTACTTTCAAAGTATTCCAACTCTAGAGAAGGTGTGATCTCCAACAATATTCACCCATGTGACATCAAACAGATTTCCCAGCCCAGGTCTCAATTTGTTGAGATCCTTGTCAAAGTGATGACATGCACTGCCATCTTGTGTTATGGTTTAGAACTGAAAAAGTCTCAGAAGCTGGGTGTCACAGCTTCTGCTGTTTTAACAGCAATTTCTTCCCCAGCCACTGCTCCACATGAGGAGACTCTCCAGTAACATTTTATTTATAGATATAAAACTAAGATCTAACTCAGGCTGCAACAGATGCAAGCCTCCACATTCCCAAGAAACAAAGCTCATCCTTTTCCACTGATGCAGGTGTTTTCAAGAGCACACAGTTTTTTAGTTTTGCTGGGACAACTGGTGTCGAGTGGCATGGATATTATCTTTTAGGTTTGAGCTGCCATTCCTCTAGCACAAGCAAACAAATCCATTGACAAACACTGCAGTGACAAAAAATGTGAGTCTAAGATATTAATCCCTTCCTCAACTTTTTTTCTGAAGAAGAATAATAGAGGATGTCCCTTTTATGTCCCTGAACTATATTTTGAAGACAGGTATTGTTCTCAAAATCTCTTCTGCAAGACGAGACTAAGGGTTCCTTTACCTACAACGGCTGGGTATAAGCTGAGTAACTATATTCTGTACCAGGAGCACACACTGGGATAGGAGCCCCAGAACAAAAAAGAGGGATGTGAAGCTGTGGATATTTCAGTGGCGTGCAGCCAACCCAATCCTGCTACATCCATGCCTCACAGGGGACATGAAAGCAATCATCTATCAAACCTTCCCAAGTCCCAAGGTGATTGTAATGACATTGTGTCTTGCAATTCAGTCCCAAGCCCAGGGGGTCAATCACAGAAAAATATGTGTTAACAAGTAGAAGAAAGACAACTGTGCAACAGTTCTGGGAAAGGACATTAAATATATGCTGAGTGGAAGATGCATTTTCTTAACCAAAAAAAAAAAAAGAAAAAAAGAAGAAGACTGCCTTACAATTTGGGGTATGGTCATCTAGAAGTAAAAAAGCTTCTGCTGTCTCTATTCTGAACAGAGTATCAGAGAATTTCCACAAGTGTGCTATCTTTACACAGTTCAAACTCCTAAATCACCCATCTTCTTTCTCACTGGGCATACTATGGAACTGCAAACCACTACTATATTGTTAACCATTTACCTGACAGCAGCAATGAACCTACCCACTTCACTACTGCACTGCTATTAAACTGGAAATTTCTGTATTACCTTGTTGCTCACAAATCATCCACTGAAATAGGAACATAACGGTAGTTCACAAAAACATAGTTCCAATAATTAGGAGGCATCTTTCTTGCTCTAGCAGGTAGTTCTTCCTATCATGTGAGTTGGCAAACAGAGAATATATTAAAGTTGATAAGCCTTCACTGACCAATTTTGACACAAGCTGAAATTCATTTGACAAAACTTTTTGGTATGTTTCTTTCTTCCCTTTCCCCACCCACGCAGAAAAAAGCAAGACACAAGTCATCTGCCATACTAATGTATTCCATCTTTCAAAAAGAAAGACATGATTTTAATATTACTTAACAATATGTTAAAAAAGTAGCCAGTTAGGCTTCAGTGTTAATACAATTATACACTCTATAACAGATTTGATAGTGTGAGTACTGTTTTTTTTTAAATTTTCTCATTCTGCAAGTATTCTTACACAAGCTGGCTACAAGTCAGGAAGAAAAAAATCAAAACACAAATAGCGTAACTTGTACACTCTTAAACAGTAGATTGTGAAAGAACTGAGGGAATACTTGTCCCATAAGAGCCTCTTTTTCATGAAGTCATGTCAGGAGAGTTCTGGAGCAGATGAAAGCACAACTGACTAGGTCCATTCCTTTGTCAGGAGTCAGAATGACAAAACATCGCTAGATGCAGAAGTGACAGGAGCCACTGCAGATGATGCAATCTAGTATTTTGGCCTCCACCCAAGCCTAAGCAATTTAAAGTCTCTGAGGCCAAGGCATTCAGAAGGAGCTGGAAAAGAGCTATTGTTCCAACTCCAACAGCATACAGCTACAATCAAGTAAGTCTCACTCACAGACTACAAGCACACAAGCTAACAAATTCAGGTAGAAAGTGGCAATTTTTCAGTCCGCAAGAATTATCAGGCCAAAGGGTTCAGTGCAGATCCACACAGCACTGGGGACAAGGCAAGGCAGCACTGGCTCAAGACCAGATAAGCTCTCAGCACAGCAGGACAGGTAAGTGGAGTTGTCGTTCATTGATTCCTGCAGGGTTCCCTCCCTGTATTGTGTCATTTCAATGTGCAGCAAAGGTGGTTTTTTTTAAGCTAAAATTGGACCAGTTGATGGAAAGTCTCTGCCTTGTCTGTCTGGCAGAATCCAAGCAGAATCTGAAAAGAAAGAAAAGTGATAAAGTGAAACCAGTATAATTAAAATCAATCCACACATATCCCTCTTTTGGAGATAAGCTCTCATTCAGAAAGACAAAACCATACATTAAAAAAAAAATCACTTGTCCATCACTCAAATACATAATAAAACAGTTACTTTCAACACCACTGCATTATAAGAATAAAGCAAAGGAGGTAGCAAAGAATGCTGCACATTCAGCAGCACAGAAGCAAGTTAAACGTCAACTAGAAACAGAAATGGTATTGCTGTACCCATCAAAAATTTTGAAAGGGTAAGAATGAGTGGCAGATGGTGTGTAAAGCAGCATCACCAATGGCATGGGACACTGCTGCTTCTCTTCTTAAAAAAAGGACACTGGAGACAAAAGACCTAGGGAAAGGAGGTCTCTATAGTACAGCAGATAAGTAGCCCACATGCCTGAAAAAAACACTCCTAGAACAAAAATCCTCTTATTTGCTTGCACTGACCACAGCTTATGGAATAACTCTGGAAAAAGTTGCCACATGCAGGCTTTTCAGGGACTGTTAATCTGATCTGAAGAACTTTATTGAGGCAAGGTACAGCTTGGTGGGGCTAAAGGCTGCATGACTGCATCAAAACAGTGCAAACCTCTCTCTGTACAGAAGGTTACACTGCTTCTGTAACAAGTGAAAGCCAAAAAGGGGGGCAGTCAGAAGGAGCACAATTAAACAGGTACAGTGGAAGACTATAGTCAGACTTATTTTTTTCTTTCTGTGCTGGTTAGAAGCAGCGTGCAATATTAATCATGATGTCAGGGTGTAATTAAGGTATTCATCTATTATACCACTACAAAACATGAAGAGAAGATGATGAATGAACTCCAAGTGAAAAATATTAATTCAGTCAGCCCGTAGCTCATTGCCATGTAGGGTTACTAGAAGAAGCCATGCTACTTGCCTTCCAAGTATTATGCTGGGCATTACCAAATGGTAGAGAACCTACCTAGGTATTAAAGGTGCCTTAATGGCATTAAGTAGTTGGTTTTGTCCCCTAAAAGAGCACCTATCAGGGCTTTTCAGACACCTTTCCTAAACAGGTATTTGTGAAAACCTAGACAGTTACATATACTTCCTTACAGATGACAGTAAAGGAGTAGACTCCACCAATTAGTGAAGAGATTACAAACAGCAGGCTTTAAAGTGCTAACGCTTCAGTTGGATAACATTTGACAAATTTGTTCCCAAAATTCAACTGCACCTCTGCAAATGTAAGACACTGTTTCATTCATTCTATTCAGAGTAAATAACTGATGGACAGAACTTCTCCATTTACTGAAGATTATGTAAACTTGAAGGAAGGTAAGAATATTCCATAACAAAGGCTTATACTGTATCAACACTAGCAGGATCTAACACATGCCATATTTTACCTGTAAAACCTGCATTTTGATTTTTAAAACAATCCTTTAATTGGAACCATTCAGAAAAATAATTTTTAATACTATAGACCATGTACCTACAACAATTTCATTGTCTTGCACATAAGTAATTAGATATAGGCATTTTGTAGCAATAATAAGCAGGAGTTGTACTCAGGTCCTTCCAAAACCCAGACACACATTGCATCCCAGGCATGTAGGCTATGAAAGCTACATGAATTTAGAAAAGAAATCCATACTGAAAGCCCCTTCTTGTAACAAATGGCTTGTGTTGCTTTGGGAAATACTACTGTTGAGTCCTAAATTATTCAATTGCAGGAAACCAAGTTATTTGTGCCCATTACAGATTTGGCTACCATAGTGAAAGGCTCACTAGATGCATTCATGGGGAACCAGCACAACCAAACTACTGGAGAACAAATTCAAAGAGATTTCAGTATTATGGAAGAACATGTGCTACACTGTTTAAACACGAGCTGTCTCCTGATATTTGAGGAATTTAGAGGTAACTAATATCACATAATAGTCTGAGTAGGAAGGGCTAGGATCATTGAGTCCAACTCTCATTATGATGCACAAATCCCAAAATCAACCAAAAAGTCCAGAAGAAAAAACTTTCACAAGCACAGATTTATATTATTCTTTTACTGTCACTGTACCAGGTGAGATGAATGAGGCTTTGGGCAACTTGTTCTACTGGAAGGGGTCCCTGCCCATGCCAGGGGGGGTGGGACAAGATGGTCTTAACTTTTTTAAAAAAATAAAAATATTAATCAGTATCCGACCTGTGTGGCTAAGAAATATCCACAAAAACTTTGCTTATAAATTATGTAATTGAGAATATTCTGAAGGCCTTGATGAGTACCTAGGGGTCACACAGATCATTCTGGCACTGGCTTCTGAATTTGTGCTATTCAGCCATAAGCTGTGCCCACAGATCACAGCTTTGGTGATTGCTACAGTTTTCAGAATGTCAGCTGTAACAGGATTTGATGTGTTACAACACAGGCTTTTCTGCCAGGAGTTAGTTATTAACTTGGGGGCTGCTGTGGTGTTGTTTTTGCTTGCTTTACAACCATGACACATGGAAAGAAGCAACATCAGCATTATGCACAGGGATTACAGCACTTTACCTTTTAAAATACTCCACTTCTCGTTCTGTTTCATCCATTTCCACACTGTCTAGATCAATGTCTTTGGGAAGAAACACATCATCTACAAAGAAAAAATGATGGCACAATGTTAGATTCCATGGGGAAGGCAGAAGGAGAGAGGAAGAAGCTGCATTAAAGATGTCTTTGGAGAACTGACTGAACCTCACAGACTATTCATTATTCATATTTACACTGAATTAATACACACATAATTAAAAAGACACTTCTTAAAATCCCTATACTAGCATCTCTGCCCAGACTTGAAGTAGTTACACTGGTAAAAAAGATGATTTAACAGTAAATTCACTAATTGCATGGGCTGCAAAAGGTACCATAAACCTGGAATACACATTAGAGTAACCAAATCATACAGAGGGCTTGATGAATCAGATAGCTGTTTAATGCCTGAAATTTTTGGTCTTACTACTAAAAATGTAGCTCTAGAAATATTTTTAAAGCAGTATTTATAAAGAAAAATACTTGGAAACTTCTGGGTTGTAGAGTTGCTATACTCCCTCTGGGACATGAGGATCAGGCTGTGTCTGCAAGAGTTTAATTCATGCTAGCAACCAACAGACTTTAAAAAAAAATAACCAAACCCAAATATTTAACACATTAATGTATGACTTGAATAGTATGGCCTCAACTCTAGCAGAGAAGTCACCACAGAGCCCGCTGGTATATTGTGCTATCCCAGCATATGGTTCTCCTTTAGACTTTAAAAAGAAATGCATTGGAAACCACACATTTTTGTAGAAACCAATTTGAACATTTGCCTCTTGAAGTTTTTTTTCTCACTGCATATACACTCCAGTCTCATTTCTGAAGCAGCTTTACAATACATTTCAAAAACCAGGTGTGACAAAGCAAGTAAACAAACCCACCAAGTACACACCTGACTAGAGAATCCTAGAGATGATGAGAATAGACAACTCATGCTGAAGACACTCGTGGCAGTTTTTAAAAGTTTCATGTGTTTGCTATTCAACTTTCTTCTGAGGAAGCAGAAAGCCCTACAAACACAGGGCATCCCTAACACTCTTAGCTTTCTTCAGCCCTTTTGTAACAAGGAGTAAAAATACTCTGCCAGAAGAAATTTCTTTAAGAAACAGAGATCTCACCAGAAGCATATTTACTGCTTTAACACTTCATTTGAAAACTCAGTTAAAACCCCCTAGCTTTGTTTCCCTCTTTTCATGTTCTCCCAATTACCCTAGTTTTTTGTATCTTTGCTAATTTGCTACATCAAACCTATATCTTGAAAAAATTATAACTACATGAAAAATCATGTATTACAGTATCTTTCTTGTAGCTCTCAGGTCAGAATGACTTAAAGTAAAAACTCAGTCCCAAGTCTACAGAGAACAGCACAATTTTTTCTTGACAAATTCTGAAACACATCCCTGTATTTTTTCAGATGTAAACATTAACTTTCGGAAATTTTAAGTATACTTTGACTTAAGCAGGAGAAAAAAAATGGTGGGGGCAGGGAGGAGGATAAGATGCAGAAGGTACCTGCATTCTCCTACAGTAAACACCGCCTCCCATATTTTCTCTTTCAAATGTCTCCAGTCTTTTCTTTCTGATCCCAGTTCTGGAGCTCTGTCTTGCTCCAATCACTGGAGTACATTCTTGTTAAATTAAAAGAGCCAAAACCCAAACACCCCACAACAGAGTATGCACAAGAACTGAGGTGTCAGAGAAAATGGTTCCATACTGTCCTGCTGCTTGGCTGACATAGAATGGAAACATTAGGCACCAGATTGAAAAACAAAGATAGTGGGCTGACCCAATCCAAACATGAAATCACTAAAAAAATCCCTAGCACTTCCTGCAACTAGGAATTAGCTTTACATTTTTGTAACAAAGCTTAACAAAAGTAAGTATTCTGAAACACTGGCAGAAACTGCCAAGGCATGAAGGTCTCCTGTCTTGCTGTGCTTACCAGAACAGCAGCAAGAACTGGTGTACATTGAATTTATGCAATGTTAGCAATCAGCTACCAGGTGATTCCAGGGGAATGACTGGGTGCTCCAAGCAGACAGATGTCCACACCACAAAGCTGCCATCCCAGCTGGTAGTCCCAGTAGGGACCCAGGATGTGCAGGAATAAAGAGGTGCCTGAGAAAGCAGTTTGACTATGGGGCTGACAAAGCCAATGGGCCAGAACTGTGTGTTTCTCAGCCCTGGTATTAGCTGTTGGATGAGTTCAGGCAAACAAAAAATAAGTTGTAAATAAAATTATTCAAGTGCAACTTGCGTGACATAATTCAATCTTCTACAGTTTTATTATTTCTGAGAAATAAAAATAACTCTGTTGACTAGAATGAGTTAATGTGGAGAAGACACTCAATTTTATCAACTAATTAACATCCCACTACAACTTTTCACTATGGCAAATAAAAAAAAGTAAATTAGTTTCCGCATTAATTTATTTACCTGTTGATGTAATTAATGTAAGAAAGGAATTATTGTCACTGAAAAAAATGCATACTTGAATGACCACACATGAAAGACCATTCTTTGACTGAAGAATCCCTTTATTTCCCTTGCCTAAAGAGTAAGACCAACTTCATACTATACTCTTTGTGCTGTATGAGAAACAATCTTGCTTTTAAAGAAAATTCAAAATGGATTTCAACATACTATTGAATTAAACAATATATTTAAGCAAGAAAAGAAAGCCAGTCTCCTGGAAAGCCTAACTGACAAAACCCCCTAGAAAACCTAGAGCATATGCTTATTCATTTGTTTGTAAAAGCATCCTACAATTCTTTACTAAAACACTATCCATCTCTTAATTGTTGCAATTCTGATGACTTGACTTTTCCTGATACCAGTTTTCCAGTTTCTCGGAGTGACATTGGCAGGAATGCCTGAAGATAAATATGTCTCGAATTAAATGGTAAGAACAGAACATAAGCCAAGTTTTTCAACTTTCTTACACACTTACCAATGGAATTGTTGACTTTGTCCCCTTTCTTCTTCTTGTTTTTCTTGTTCTTGCCTTTTGGTTGAGGAGAATCTGCAAGTATTAGCTTATTATTTTGCTGCTGCTCACTTGGTGATGGGGATTCACTTGTTACGGGGGCTTTCTCTTCTTTTACATGGTTCAACTGCTTTTTGTTGTTATTGTTTAATTTCTTCTCATCCTTTTTAGGTTCTGCAAGTGTTGGGAGTTCTGCTGCTTTTGCTTTGGATTCTATTTGGTTTCTGGCTTTAGTCTGGATCTCAGCTGCTTTGGAGGATTCAACAGGCTTTTTCACTTGTTCAACACACTGTTTGCTCATCTGTTTTAGTTTCTGTTTGCTGTTTCCTTCTTTATGTTGATGCATAATATCAAGCAGAAAAGAGAGGGGCTCATGCTGCTTTACAGTGCCCTCCTTCTGATAAAGCAGCTTTGAGTCTCTAGTGTTGACAGGGTTGGACAGTTCACAGCCTGTCTCTAGAACTGGCCTCTGTTCTGTGTGATTCACATGTCGGGACAGTGAACCAGCTGAGGTTTCTATCTTTTCTGATTGCTCAAGGGTACCATTCTGAATGTCTTCTGGGCTGCTTGGCACAGCTTCCTTCACTGCCTGGCAGTTCCTAGTGAGCAGCTCTGCCTTTGCACAGTCCTTACTTGTTCTCTCTTTCTTCTTTTTCTTCACAGCCCGCAACTGCTGAAGCTCCTGGAGCCGCTGTAACTCCTGCTTCAGTCTCTCCTCCTCCTCTTCCTCACGCCGCCTCTGCTCCTCGAGCAGCTGGTGATGCTCCCTCTCCCTGGCTTCAGCTTCAAGTCGAGCTTTTTCTTCAAGCTGCAAAGTAACAATAGGTTTATTGAAAGTGACAAATATTTTGGAAATGAAGAGTTTTAGGGATTATTACTACTTTGCTTTATGAATGTTATAAATCCTTGGATGTGAACATATGAACGTACTTAAATCTGTAACTCTGCAGAACAAGCAAATAAGTATACAAAAGCTGTCCTTTTAAATATATTACAATCCTTTCTCTGTTCACATTTGCTATGTTTCTCTAACTCATTTGACTAATGTTAATACCAACTGTTGATCCTTTCTTCCCTGCTGCTACGCCTAACGTCACATCAAAGTTTTCTATAGCCACAAAATATTCAGCTTCCTTCTCAAAGACCGTGTGTGTTTCTCAGGTAACTCAAGCTTGCATCAGGTTGTATAATTTACCTGTTCTCTTGCTATGGTAGCAGAATTGCCCTCTTTCAGAGATCAGGAACATTAGAAAGAAAAATCATTAAAAACATTCTGCACCAAAACCCTAAGCAAATAATAGTTACATTAGAAGTTGTCAAAAATCCCAAGGATGGCAGATTTCCATTGTCAGCCATTAGTTCATTAATAAAAACAAAGACATGAGGGATTTTGCCAGCCATTACTGCCAATGACTAAAACTTTGCTGGGCAGCATTGATCTTGCATCATTAACAAAATGAAACAAAGTCATACAATGAGAACAACCATGAACATTTATTTTCTTGCACATTTAGAGGTGCCTGTATGGCATTACTTTTTCAGTTACAGAAGTCATTCAAAAATGGGAATTACTCATGAGAATGACCCTATGGGAATTTTCCACTTACACTCCAACTGCACTGTATGAGCAAAGTGAATTTTGCATTGCAAATTTTACAAAGTTTATTTTATTTATAAGTAATCCACTAAACCCTCAAGATGCTGAATAGTGCTACAAGATGAACATAGAGAATTTAACTTGTGAATATTAATCTTCCAAACCCATGGAAGACCCATGGGTCTTCCAAACCCATGGAAGCCTTTAAAGAATGCAGAAGTAGCGCCAGAAGAAAATCCACAAACAAGAAAATATTTACAGTGTGATCACATAACACGCTTACCAGAAATCAAAAACCTTCAGCAACCAATTACACTGAGCCTTGAACTTTATACTTATGGCTGATACTTGAACTGCTCCAAGAAAAGATTTCCTGACTGTTCCAACTTTAAAAAAAGGTATTTCTTCTGTTATTCCTCTTTCATATTTCCTCTATATTATCCTCAGCAAATACTGTATCAAAAAAATTAATTTCACTATTACACACTGGAGCTTGTCAGAAATCTTTTGTGCCAATTTTCATTTGAAAGCAACCTGTAATTTTTTCTTCCCTGCCCCCTCTCTGCTGCTTGCCACTCCAGCTCAGGATAACCCTTTGTGTCATCACATGGCACAGCACTTAACCTCTGTCACTCAGGACAGCAAGGTGCTCAGTGCAATTATTCTAAAAATACCAAATGCAACTCTTCCTGTCTCATAAAAGCACTGACCTATGTTTCCTGGCTTTCTACAGAGACACTTTATCAAAACATTATCCCAGTACAGAAACACTGACTTTCTAATTTCCCGCACTTTTAAATGTCAATGCCACAAAACAATAAAATTGGTAACACTTCTGATACTCAGAAATAACCTTTGGAAGTGTGGGGAATTCCAATATAAAGCTGATTTGCACCAAAACACATGACAATGGCATTTTCAGGAATCCTCCCAGTTGAGTATATAACTCCTGAACAGGTAAGCCAGTTGTGTAAAAGCAAACTGGCAGTGCACCACAAACCACAATTACAGCATTAGGATAAATCAGTACACAGTGGCTTCTTGGGGGGAGTGCACAGATTCAAAAGTGTGAGGTCTAGGACGAACATACTTTCATGTCTTACCTTTCTCTGCTTATGCCTGGCTCGCTTGGCTGCACGAGAACTGCTCACAGGTTTGGTTTCAGAGCTGTTTATAAACTGTAGCAAGTCCTCCACCTTTCGATGGTCAACAACACTTTCCCTTTCAGAGATCTGATCTGGTTTCTTCGGCTGCTCCTCTTTCCTTTTTGTTAAACGTAAACGAAGCTTTTCTCGCATCTCTGCATAATTTCTACTGGTTGGTGCAGCTGGAGGCTGAAGGACACACGACAAAAATTTAGTGACTAAATGGAAAAATTTCACTGACTTAATGCTTTTGAGATTTTGAAATACCAAAATACTCTGCCTTCAAATAACACAGGAGGTCCAAACCTCTATCAAGCTCATTGTTTCTATGTGAACCTAAAGTCTATTTAACAGGCAACAGATCTGCCACACTTAGTGCTGGCTTCTGAACTACATTTTCCAACTGAAAGAACAGCAGATCTTGAGGAGGATGGCATGAGTAAGAAGACAAAGAAATAACCTTTAAAAGCAAGAAAAAATACAGTGACTTTTATTTCCATATTCTCTTGTGACTGGTAAGCTGTATTTGAAAATTTCAAAGGAGCAGACGCTGGCTCTGTTTTTATTTCCCATGAAATCTGTTTCAGAGGTTGAGCTACACAGGCCTCTGGGCTGTACCAGTGAAGGGCTGGATATCCTGCACTGAAGCCTGCCAGCCCACCCTCCAGCAGAGTCCCGTGAATAACTCAACACTGCTGCAAGTGGAATCCTTGCATCATGTTCCATATCTGTATTTCCAATCTCTCCCCTCCTGATGCCTTACCCTCTCTGCTCCTGTACCAGCCCTGGTGCCCATCTGTTCACAGCTACACCAGTTCAACTCACTAAACCAGCAAAACAAAGCCTATTAACTTAAAAATCCTGTCACATTCTGCCACTTCAGCAAAATGAATAACTTACTGTGCAGTCAGGTAACCATCAAACACAAATCAAGCATGGATATGGTGGGAGCATTCAAGGAGAAATGGGATGCCTTCCCTGGCCCCTTTAAGCCACAAGGCAGGGGATTTAATTCACTTGAACAACTAAGATGAAACTGACCTGATCGAATACATGGCAAATAAGCTGAGCTTTTACTTCAAACAGGAAAAATGCCAGTGACTCAAATTTTACCAGTAAACTGATTATTACAACAGGCCACACACAGATTTACAAGTTAAGAAAAAAATAACGTGTTATATTTCAGCTAAGAATCTAGAGGGTTTTTTTTTCCCTCCTTTTTAAAGAATTGGAATAAAGTGAATACTTTGAGGATTGTTATTTTTACAGCTAGCAGACTAGCTCATAAATTGCTGTAAAGATTTAAACTAATATCCTATGTAAAGGGTACTTTTATCCAAACTCATCACATTCATTGTAACTACAGTACTACAGAGGAGCAAATTAATTTTGCAAAGTTATTTAAACGGCTCAATGCCCCTGTTTGCAGTTTCAGTCAAACATGGCATCTATTATCCAAATCGGTTGCTTCCTAAATCTTTTAGTCATTTTTATTGCTCTTAAATGCTTTGAACTGGAAAGGTTTATTTCAATCCTTCATTTCAAAGAGGAAAATTACTTTTCAACTCCTTTTACAACCTCTTGAGTGAGTTCCAATGCCATCCCCTAAGATGCAGTCTGATAAATCACACGCAACCTTATGATGAGTAAGTCACAAAAAAGCAAACAAAAGCAATTTAAAATACAAAAACTTACTCCTCCATGGCCGAAGAACTCACAGTAACAGCAGTCACAGTATTTTCCTTCCTTCTGATTTGTGGAAGTTGAGGTACTGGAGCTATGCTCTGAGCAGCTATCTTCATCCTGGCTCTCCTCCCCATCATACTGCTGATGATCGTACGTGTTACTGTTCTCACAGCGATGGCCCTCACAATCAGGGTCACTGTGTCCAATTAAAAAAAAATGCTTATAAAACCCTAATGATAATAAATAAGGCATAATAATAATAATAACCAATAACAACAACAATATTATTATCATTATTTAAAAAAAAGAAATGTATACATGTTCCTGTCTCTAACAGGAACAATGGTTCTCGAACTGGGATATCAGTCATCCTAAAGCTTTCACCCACTAACTTACAAATGGAGACATTTGAAACCAAGCAGCAGGATAAAATGATACACAGGAAAGCCATCTATAAGAACCAAATTTAGTGATGCCCTGAACAAGCATGCCTAGAGAGTGAGTTTTGGAACAGCTCTTCCTGGCTTTAAACAGGTAAAGTATTTCAGAAGTACTGACTAGCTTTTTTTAATGGAATAGTTTTGAAACTGCTGCCCTTCTCACCATTTGTGACATCAAGAAGGTTTCAAATGCAGTTGCAAATCTCCTGGTTTTAGATATATTTTCAAGCTCTTGACTTAAATAAAAAATCCAGTGTCAGCTAAAACCTAGAAGTTTCCATTACCCTGTCTGCAACTTGATTTTGAAGGGGGAATACTGGCACATCTCTTCAATAAGCAGGTACACAGCATTTGATTCCCCCAGAGCTCTGTGTAACTGCACACAACATTTCTACTGCCCAGGTCTTCTAAAACAGAGGTGATTTTGCTCCAAAAGAAAGTAGCATTAAAAAAAAATCCCCTCTCTTGTCTATCATTAGTATTTCTTTGTTCTTATGTTAGAAAGGTGAAAACAGCTCATATTCTGCCTTATCTACAGAATATGTATAAAACTGCTGTCTAACCTCCCTCCCCCTTCCCAGATTGCAATCACTGCTTCTGGGTCTCTCTCAGTTCATTTTTTTTCCCGAACAAAAAATATCACATTAGCACCTGGAAACAATGATAAAAAGTTGGATTTCTACTGTGTCCATATTCAATTATGTCCCTGCACTACATAAAAAAAATTCTTTACAAAATTGTGATAATTTCTCAAGTATGAAAGAACAGTTACTTATCTTGAGACATCATCAATAAAACCAGTTGGTAACAGAAACAAGGACATTTTTAGAAGTATTTACCAAACCCTACCTAAATCTCACACCATCTTCCAAAAACTTACAGCAGCCAGGAGACTACATTGATACCATCCATGATCACAGCCCCACAGGTCAGAGCTCAGAGCAATGACTCAACTGCTTTTCTGTTATGCCTCCACCCTTCAGACACATCCAAGGGCTGCCACCATTGTCAGCCTGCCACAGTACACAACATTACCAGAAGACAGCTCCACCAAAGTGCTTCCCACCTCCAAGACCTGTGAAAATCTTCAGAAATCACAACATCCCTTCCACGCTAAAACCACTGTATAAATGGTAGGAGTCATATCTAAGAAGCCTAAAGTGCAGTCAGGAAAACATGCCACTACATGGCAGGTTTCAAGACCATGTATGACCTCTTTATATTCTGAGCTAAATTACAGAGTAAGGTCTTCACAGCTTTCCACTCCTGCTTGCCATGTAATGCCAAAATGACAGAAAACAAGAGGTCTGCGTCTCAGCAGCCTCATTAACCAGTAATTAGAGTAAGGAAGAACAGTTTGATTTGTATATCCCAGACAATATTTCTAGAAGTGTGCAAACATTTCTTTTCAAGCCTCTAAATTCAGTAACTGGACTGCACAATGGAAATCATATTTGTGAAGTCTCACACCAAGCTAAATACTAAGTGTCTGCACTTGGTTTCATTTGCTGAACACAAACACAGCTTTCACACTACAACCAGTGGCAAAGGAGAAGAGGTATCAGTATTTTCATTTCCTATCTACTGATTAAAAAAGAATGGCAAGAATAACAACAACTTACCTGCAGACACTTGGTGGGGCACTTACAGAGCTGTCTGTGGTTGAAGTAGGAGGTGCAACTGTAGTAGGACAAAGACCTGAATGAGGATCCACAAATCCAGGGGCTGTTGCAGCAGTTTTGGGGAAAGAAGGAGCAGCAAGGTTTGGAAGATGTGGTGTGGAGGCTGGAGACAGTGCAGCAGGAGACAGTGAAGGAAGGGATGCTAAACTGGTAGGACTATTTCGTGGTGCAACTGGTGCAGAATGTCTATGATCCTCTTTATTAATATTGTGGAACACTTCACCTAAATTGGTGGGAAAAAAGAAACCACCTACAGTTAAAAATAATTACGAAGTCCCCATAAACTATCCATAAAATCATATAGAGTACTGTATATTCTCAGCTTCTATAAAAACCTGCAGTATTTCAACTAATTTCCATTACCAGTTTCCAACCCTAACATCAAGGTCTCACAAAGTTCTTCAATCCAGAAGACTTCAATCCAGACAGAGACTACCTCAAGAATAATAACAGCAATTAACAAAAATCATCAAGATGCATGATTTTACTAAATTAAACACCTATATAAATCCTTATAGTTAGCTACATGTACTTGAGCCAGTTACTGAAGCTGCATGTGAGTTACAAATCCTTACCTATCGATGAAGGTCTCTTGGATGATACTTTGAACTGGTTGCTGCTCGACTGCACTGTAGTTGCTGTGCAAGAGACAGAAGAAGTGGCAGAAGAGGTTGCCATGACAACTTTATTAGCTTCCATAAAGGCATCCTGGAAATTGTACAGACATTTCTTCTTTGCAGCATTTTTTTTCTCTTTGCTGTCAGTAACTGCTGTTGTTTCATTGCTAGATGTAGTAGGAAGTGCTTCGGGTCTTATTTCTGAGAGTGCTGGTGCTAATATATCACTCCCTTCAATTGAAACAGAGTAATTAAGAATCACATAATTACTGAAGTGTCTTTACAGGATTTAAATTACACATTCGATAATTCAGATGCAGACACAGGATATATTGTTAATGTTGGATTAGTAGGATTAGTGAAGGGAATCCTCCTTTCCCTCTCCATCCTCCCAGATAATGTAGGTGTAACAAAATCTGCTGGGAAGTATCAGAGCAGAATCACAAACCCTGAAGACAGAATTCTAAGAATGTCACTAAATGTGTTAATAAGCAGTAAATGTGCTACAGGTATCTTCACCCATTTATAATTGAAAAATTTCAATTTGACAACATTTTAACATGCTAAAGATATAATATGCACTATCTGAAATCCAAGTACGCCATGACAAAATTGTAAGATGAAACAACATATCCATTTATCAAGACAAAATTATAAACCATTTATTAATTTATTTGAATTGCAGTTAACAGAAACACGTTTGTGATAGACCTTCCAGATGAGTCTGCCACCAACCATCTGTTGGAATAGCTACCCACAACTACATTTGTAAATGGATGAGCTGTCCCACTGGGGAAATTTTCTGGATGTTTTTTATGCCCTTCTTTTTAAGTATCACTGTAGTAGCTTTAACAACTTAGCAACACATGAGTCTGAAAAAGAAAGCCAACACGCAAAACCCCCAAGCCTCCTTTTGTATACAAGACAAAAAATAAAAATGGCTTTTTAGTATTTGCTAGGATGCGAATGGAAAGATTTCTCTCTCTAATTTTCCTTTTGTTCTTTCACTTTAACCAAGAATTGGCTTAAATTAATCTTTTTCTTGATTTGAGCCTTTTTCTCAGTGACAATGTGGTTATCTGTGTGCATTATAAGAAGTGGGACACAGTGTCTTGTTACCAGTGCTCTTACTACCCTGTAGGAATAAGGCAGGCTTTTGTGGAGAAGTCTAGAAGTTATTTAAGTTTTCCTTTACAATACTAAACTTCTGAAGACAAACAACTCTACAACAACCACAGGTGAAAACCAGCATGCTATTTGTTTGCCTTTAGCATCTTCTCCCCAGTACATAAGAATTTATTTTCCAATTTTCTGCCCAACTGGAGTAGAGGTGGCAGCAAATCTGCCAGAATCCCATCTTATAAAACCATGGTGATAAAACCCACCATTCCTGAAAAGAAACATAAAACATAAGGCTTTTAACTAGTCAGTATAAAGTAGCAACAAACCCTCACCAGGAATTGTGTCAGGCAAAAATGTAGCAGGATTCCAGTTCTTGTCATTCATCACCTCTGAACCCCAAAGACTTATAAATTTAGAGCTATTCCAATCTGGAGTGCTCCCAAAACAGCTTGGATAAATATGATCTTGCAGAGATGCATTGAATACTTGATGCTTGTTTGTATGATTCTGAACTGGAGCTGGTGGTAATGCCTGCAACAAAAACAAAGAATATCTTCCCCATTAATATTCTGTTTGCTTGCACAGTCACTCCAATAGCAATATTCAAATCATAGTGTTTTAATTGGAAAAAGCATTATCAAAAGTATAATAGACACTATTTCCCAGAAAGACAAAAAGGCTGATTTGTTGATAATTGTAATGCACGTAACATATTACACAGATTGCATGTACATGTGTATATTTTACACTCACAAAGCACTGCTTTTAGAATTAACTAAATGATGAACACAAAATATCCAAATCTCAAAAAATAGTTGTGTCAATATATAATTAAAAACAGTATTTGTATGAATTTAGAACTTGCTAGGAATTACTACCTTTCAAAGCATGAGCTGCCTAAACAAATTAATCTTCTCTGACATGACAATCATTACCACAGAACACAATTGTGAAAAAGGGATTACAAACACTTCAGCATTGAAAATAAGGGCAAGAGAAAAAGAAACAAAACACATAAAACAATAGCTAATTATTTTCTTCCTTTCTTTTAATTTTCAAGTATTAAGTGGTTCCTAACTTAAAATTAACAAGCAAGGAATACACCCCTTCCTTTTAAGTACCAAGTGGAGGGAAAAGAAAAGGAAGCACACATTTTTTCTCATTTTATAGAGACAAGTTGTTTGGGCTCACTCCATTTCTTCTGGCTGAAATTGTTTACACATTCTAAAATTACCTTTTCCCAGAGACCTCATGCAACATAAACATTATATTCAAATACTGCTACCTTTAAAAAGGAAAAGCAGCTTTTTTTCTCTTTTTATACTAGATTTGATGCAAATTAAAAGCTATGCAGAAGTAGATAGAGATATTATAGATAAAGATATTAAAAATATCAGTTGAGTCCAAAGACCTTTCAGACATTAGACTCATGGCCAAACAAACTACTTAAATACATAGTCTCCCTTTTTTATAAAGAAGGATTTTCATTATCTGCCTAATGGTGAACGTGGGAGGGGCTGGAATAACCTGCACTGAAGAAAATTTGACTACATGAGTGCAAAGAAATACTTAACATGGTCTCAAAAGAACAGCAATGGGCTGTTGCTGGCACATTGCAGCTATGGAACAGAAGTAAGGGACACCCAAGACAGGAAAACCCAAAGTGTATGCTAAGAAGGATAAAAAGAGCAAGTAAGAGTCATCTTGATGGATTATTCTACTCTGCTTGCAACCTTGACCAGTGGATCAGACCAGGAGAAGACAAGGATGTACCTAATGACAGAGGCTTTTTTTACCCCTCTCAGCATCACGCACAGTTCAGCTGCTTTAAACATATGTGAAACAGCATCCCCATGAACAGGGAGGCTTGGGTTTAACTCATATTTCTGAAAAGCTGTCACTTGGTCCCAATTCTTGTTCCACATATTTCTCTTGTTTATTATTTACGAGTTTAAGGTCAAAAGAACTTTGCAGAACCTGCAGAAACACGAGTTCTCTTGAAGGACAAAAAAACCCTTACAAATATGAAATAAGACTCCTGCGTCTTTGCTCAAAAAAAACCCAACAAATCCCAACCAAAAAACAAAAAGGAGAAGAATTCACAAAAATTTTTAATTACAAATCTCAGAATATTATTGCCAAAATGGAATACTAAATTTTTCTGATACATATAAAATGAAGACAATTAGTTTTCTTACACTGACTGAAGATCTATCACTGCTTCCACCTTGCAAGCCTCATTTGACTCAACATGCTTCCTAATCACAGTGAAGACATTATCAGTCTTCCTGATGAAAAAATACCCTCAGCCATTCTCTATGAACCTCCCAGCAGTTCTCCATCTCACTCCCTGCCCCTCAGCATTCCTTGCAAAAGAAATATTATAACCAAACCACAATTTGGAACAACTTTTCATTGTTTCACTGATACTCAGTCATGCTGGTTCATACAGCTGTACAGAATTTCCCCTGGGATGGGGATGCATCCATCTCCTTGGTCAGGCTTACCTTATTGTGTGTGAAGGGAGAAGCAGTGTACAAGGTGGGATGGATAAGTGGACGAGGCAGATGAGGAATTGTATGCAATGGTATATGCCCATGGATGTGAGGGTAAAGATGAAGTGCAGGATGTGCAGGTTTTTCAGGATTCATAAACTGGTGCCCAGCAGGCAGGCGTCCAGTAGCAAGTGCAGAGACTGTTAGTCCTGAGGCTTCTTGTTTGCAAACATGACATTCACAAGCATTTGGACCTTGGTCAGCCTACAAAAAAACCCAATAAAACCCATTAAAAACTCAATCTACTCAACAGACAAAAAATTCCTACTAATCAGTAGTATTATTTCATTTTCCATACATCAATGAATATTTTCAGAGCATCCATATAATTTTTTTCTAGTACCAATAGAAAAGTCTCATAGTGAAGCAAAAGCACTAGTGAAGGATCTCTGTCTTACTTAAAAGAATACCCTAAAGACTGAGAGATTTCATACCATACAGAGATTTAATGTCCACTATGAGTGACAACAAGCAAAATACTGACACAAACCTTGACAGCATTCAATCATTACTAGGCAAACACCCCAGTAAAAAAAGAAAAAGCCTAACTGGATTAATATTGTTCACAACTTTCCAAGCATATGTAAAAAATGGGTGTAGGAAGTAGTGGTAAGAGTTGATTAGCTGATCAAATTGGAAGTAGTCCTCAGTGTAATAGGCAGAGCACAAACAGCATGTCAAGGGAGGCAATCTCTCCACTCTGCTCAGCACTGGTGAGTGAGTGAGTGAGCACTGGTGACTCCAGTGCCAGGCTCAGTCCCAGGCTCCCCAGTATGAGACAGGGACACCCTGCTGTCAGACCAGGGAAGGACCACAAAGATGGGAGCATCTGTCAAGGAGTGATGGACAGCTCTAGGACTGTTCAGCCTCAAAGAGGAGATTCACCCTGACTGGGTGGAGAAGGGATGAACAGAGAGGACAGCAGCAGGCTCCTCTCAGTGGCATCCCATGAAAGGGTCAGAGGAAATGGACACACTTAAATACAGGAAATTCCACTCAAACCACTCATTTGTGAGAGTGGCTGAACACTGGAACATAACACCTACAGCAGCTCTAGAGACTCCACTCATGGTGGTACTCAAAATCCAACTGGACACTGTGTTGACCAACTCTCTTTAGATGATCTTGCTTTGACCAGGAAGGTTGGTCTGGATTATCTCCACAAGCCCCTTCTAAACTCAATTACCCTGTAAATGTGTGAGACGGACATTTCTCCTAAAAATTTCACAATTGCACCAACCATGAAAAATCCACACTTCAGAAACTTGTACAGATCTCAAGGTATCATCAGCCTCTGTTGTCTCAAAAGAACTCAAGACTTTTGAAGAAAAGCAGCCCAGGAAAGAGCAGCTTCATTTCCCTTTCAGCTCATTATTTTTTGCAGCACTGTCACCTGACATTTCACTGGTAGATAATTTATCAGAAGCAATACCAAGACTACTTCCCAATTTCTCCTTTTCCAACCAAAGTGGCAGTTCACATTTTTCCAAAAATGTAACAGTTAGATTAGCTTTCTAGAGAAGAACTGACAGGTGATGCTCTTCTTACATATCCCTTCCTCTCAGAAACAAGTAACTCGTCATCAGCATTTAAAGGCATTACAGCCTTTAACACAAGGTATATTTTAACAAATAACAGATGTCATCAACCAAATACATGAAATTAATTCAGTTGTATAAAGAAAACAAACCCCCCCACCTTTATAATAAAAAAATCAGTACTATCCAGAAATCAACACTAATCTACTAACAAATGAAAATGGAGAAAATATTTCAAACAAACTGAAGAGATTCAAAACCCAATTCTGACAAACTGGGTACTGAAAAGGAATCCAAGAGAAATAGAGGTACTGAGTAAATTAGCAAAACCAAGAGGTAATGCCAAAAAATCTCAAATTCACATGACATGTATAAGTGAAATTCATCACTTAAATACAACACTACACTACTCAGCTCTGATTAGATCAGACTGAAAAAAAGAATGTCATTAAGAGTTCCTCAGAATCATTCTGAAAATACTCTTACTCCTCAAAGAAAAGAAAAAGGCCAAATCCATCTTTTTATCTTGCATTTTAGTTTGCTTCCCTAAGGCAAGCAGACTTATATAATCTAATTTGATTTTCCACAACAAATACTGAATCTCTTTCACCAGTTTCAAACTAGTCTGACAGAGGTCTCACCCCATGTAATTTTTATGGCATAGGTCAGCAATACATAGAATAAACCCTCGATGTACTTGCTGAAAGAAAATTGGTTTAATACTCTTAATACTTTCAGTGGAAGGTCTTAAAACATCCTAACCAGAGGATAACACTTGCTGGGAGATGATTATTGTCTAAGGTCTCAAAGGTGCACCACTATGCACTCTCTCATGCAATAAGAAGAAATGAAAGTGACAGTCTCTCCCAAAGCAGGGAGCCTGTGTTGTAGCTGCAGGGCAACTTAGATTGAAATCCTTGTGGTTCCAGAGACAAATCCATTGGATCCTTTGCTTTGGTGCTCAGTTGTTGAACCAAACACTGTTACTTGCAGAGCAGATAGTCCAGGCATGGCTCTCTAGGTGGTCTGATGACCTCACAGTCAAGAGCTTCATAATCTCAAGCCATTAAAAACAAATAAACCAAACATCCCAAGACCCATGCTGTTGAAGTCATGTAACGAATGTATATACACAGGGAAAGGCAATCCTCAAATAGAGGATATGACTATCCTCAAATATCAAAGAAATATGTGTTAACTAAGTACTCATAACATCCACCCCCCACCCTAATTAATTTCAAATAACACCAATATTTAGCAAAGGGCAGGCTGATCTTCCAAACAGAAATGCTTGTTAGTTTGTTTCTCATTCATACAGGTAGGAATAGGCTTTTTCCCCTTTTCCTGAAGTAACTTTTAATATAAGTAACATATTTCAGGTTTTGACTAAAAGATTATTTGACATGACAAGGTAACAATTAGTTATTTTAGGTGTCATACTTACCTACTGACAACTTAATATTTTAAGTTAAAAAATTAATTGACGATGTAAATGTCTTCTCATTCAACAGCCACATTTCAGAAATTAATCTACTACAAGATGCTTTTAGATGTCTGTACCTGCTGACTGGGGTAAGAAGGTGGTGGACTATCCATTTTTGTTTCCTCTTTCCTTAATGCCCTTTTTCCTAGAGACATTTCCTCCTTTTGAGTCCCTGGTGGTTCACCACTGCTCTCCCCATCTGCTTCTTCATCATCTGCTTCTGAGGAACTGCTGCTAGTACTGCTCACCTGAGGAGACTGGACAACATTAGCTCATTAACATGGGGACATTAACAAGGACAAGCCTTTCTCCAGTGAGCACATCCAAAAAGCAGAACAAGCTAGGGCACTGCAAATGCTGTACCTCATCTTTCAGGGCCATGTTCTCACCGCCGCCGTTCAGCTCGCTGTGGATTCCGTTCATGTTGGCTACAACTTCTGCATCGTCGTAATTATTCAGTGGGTAGATATCAGCAAATTTTGCTGATAATGGTGCAACATCATCATCATCACTACCACTGAGGGGAAAAGAGGCTTAGATAAATCTCAGTGCTCAGTTATAGTGAAAGCAGCTAGAATACCAAGATGAAATAAAGTTGAGGGCATCCCTTGTATAAATGTTCCAATTAGGAGTCAATGGATGGTCTTCCAAGTTGTTCAACTGAATTTACTTTTTCAAGCAAGTAAAATCAAACAATTTGCCACATAATCCTACTCAATGTAGCAGTCACATGCCTGAATGACAGACTTAATTGAAAACAAGGTTCTCTGCTGCTTTTGGGCAAAATATTTTTCAAACACTCTTTTCTGACCAAGAATCTAGGGAATTAATAATTCCAGGATACTGATGACCTTCAATTTGATGAAAAAAGCTTTATGCCAATGTCTTCCTTCATATAAATTGCTAAGTGGAAAAACCCAGAATATAAAATTTGAGTTTTTCCACACGTTAAATGTTACACCAGTAAAAAGGGAACACTGAACACATCACAGCAGCTCTTAAATTTCTCAATAGTCATTAGTTTGTAGACAACCTCACGTCTGCATGCTTTTCAAAATTAGTTCTAAAATAGTGGAATTTTTTTGCCTAACAGATAGATAGTAATAGGACGTGCACATTTAATTACTCACTCCAGGGAAGTGTTGCAAAGATCAGTTAGTTCATGTTGCTACAATAATCCAAAGCTCTTAAAAGAGCTCTTAAACTGTGCACTTTTATCTTTTGCATTCCATAAAATACTCAACCAAAATTTAATTACATGATGGCACCATTAGGTATATTTCAAATGTGCAATGAAGAAACAAAACACAGCAGATAGTATACGACATAAAATGGCACTTCCCCAAGGAGCAATGGTATTTCTCTAAAAATAGGCTTCTTACAGTAAATAATACTTGGATTCAACTGAACTAGCTTCTGAAGAGACAAAGTGAACAATTTTTGACATTTCAGCACCAAAATTAGTGAGAGTTTATAGAAATGGCAAAGTACACATTTAAGAACACGTAGCAGTTTTCAAGTGCTCCCTGAATAGGTACAGAAACTACAGCTCTGTAATGGAATACTAAACCATTGGTGGCAGTAGATAAATGCTTAGAGAAAACGGAACTTAGTGACTGACAGTGACCAGAAACACCCCACACACCTGCACTGTCCTTGTCCATCACACCCTGTGAGCATGGAATACAATGGGAAATTCCCCAGAAACACCCCACACATCTGCACTGTCCTTGTCCATCACACCCTGTGAGCATGGAATACAATGGGAAATTCCCCTGACTGTACCTAAGCAGGTATTTCACTATTTCAGTGCCATACTGAGTACAAAAGCCAGCCCACCAGGCAGCTTTTACTCTTTGGAATCACGAAGAGGTGGAAGTTACCATTAGGCTAATGACTCAAATCTCATACAGACTTGGATTGGAGTGTAAGAAATTGAGTGGCAGATACTTCTGATAGGGACAACAATTTTTGATGGAAGCCATACTAACACAGGTTCAACAATCCAAAAAGCCATATAATAAAGGCTTTTTTTGGAACCAAAGCAATTCATGTGAATTGATGATCCTTCAAAAAAAGGAATGCCAGTTCCCTTGCTCATTTTAGGAAAATCTGACATTTTAAGACAATGTTCTAAAGCAGTCAGAATCTGATGTTCCCGTAATTGCAAAGCAGGAAAGCGTACTACAGAAACTTCTAGCAATAGTGGTAATACAGTATCCTCAGAAATTTTCAGAAATCTGACAGCATCTATTTTAATATATAACACATATATATATATATATAATATGCACAACAAACAGCTGGAGTTGTGGCCAGCTGAATACAGTACCATTATTAAATAATTTTCTGGGGCTAAACTAGCATTACATAATGATAGCCTGCCAATGTCATTTGCCTGCTTAAGTTCAATTAACTATAAAAATTTAAAACAGGAAAAGGAACTTACAAAGTTGGTGCAGAACCATTATCTGCGAGGATGAGTCTGGGATGCTGCTGAATCGTGATAGGTGAGCTGGAACCAGATCCTGAACTTGCTGAAGACATACTGGGTGGGCGGATCTCGGATAAATAATCCGGAGCAGAATCGATTTGTAGTGGTAACTGGTTAATGTGGATGTCATCCGTTATGGGAGAATCCATGATGCCACACGTTAAAATGTGTGAAAGGCTGCAGTCATCACAAGTACATCTGCTCAAAAATTAAATTACAGATTTTTATGATCTTGTTTAACTAGCATTTATTCAAAGTAACCATATTCTTTGTTCCAATAATGTATTTCTTTTTTCCTTGAACAAGAAAGTAATGATTTATTATGATTTCATACCAAGAACATCAGCTCACCTTCTTCTATAATTACAGTTGGGACAGTCAGGCATGCTCAAACGTGATGACAGCATGTGTCTCATTGTGTCTGTGAAGTTGTTCTCCCCAGATAGTGCTTTCTTGTTATTAAGCTGAAGTAAATGGTAAAAGTAATGTTTTAGTAGTGCAAGTCTTCCCGTTAAAAACTCAATGGCACATAACGACAAGTTACATAACCAAAAAGGGTTCTTTGGGCAAAATAATTGAAAAGCAGAATAATTCAGAATAATTCCATGAAGGTGGCGTTTTGATCACAAAAAGGAAGTTCAAAGTTACAAATGACAAACATTTGGCATCAATACTCTTCAAATAAAGTCCGTCTCTAGTATGTAATAGGAAAGTGGACAAGTCTGTCTCCCTGACGGATTCATAGGTACATCTTGCACTGTATTTCTGCTGATGCATTCTGAACTTGAGCAGTTTTTGTCTTGTTTCATGATATGCACAAAAGGACACTACTGACAAATGGGGAAAGCAAACTGACCCTTAACTTGCAAATAAAAAAAAATTAGGACTAATTTGTTAGCTACAATGGTATGGAGTCAAGAGTAGCTGCCCAAAACAGGACTTGACTGCATTAGTAAAAAAATACAATCAAAATAATCTCCACCTGGCAGAGGCCTAATCCTGAAAACACCTAATTTCATTAGATACCTACAAGCCTTAGGTTAAACAAGGATGTGCCTAAGCTCCCACTTCTATAGATGCCCAGACCTGATCCTTACCTAAGCAGCCATGGTCTTACAGCTCACTTAAGGCCAATTAGGACCAAGGAAAAAGAGGATTCTTCCTCAAGTCCTCTGAGGAGACCTGCATACCAGATGTTCTGAATACACGGTTAACACAGGCTTAGGTTCCTTATAGGAAAAAGTACTTACTGATGACTGCTTTGAGACATTGCCAATTTAAGCTTAAGTTTAAGTTTATTAAAATGTACTATCATACTCTCTCTGGCTCATGACTAGCGTTTCTTTCTGCATACTGGTACAGGAACGGAGAGGTTCTCCATCCAGAGTTGACTCTAGCCGAAGCCCACTGTACTCTTATGGAAAGCATGATGCACCTTAGGTAACTTCTAGGCTGCAGAAGAGAGTACTGAGTCTTAAACAGCAGTTTTAGAATAAGGTAGAAACTTCTACTGGCCCCTCTCTGGTTACAGCTTGAAAAAAGGAAGACAGTTCTGCTCAGCCCTTTCCCCAAGAAACAACTGCAGGAGCTATCTCTGGAGTCTCAACAGGTGGAATCACCTGCCCCGACACTGAGGCTCACACTCCTGCACACACACAGGCATTTGTTAAACTCTTGAACACAATATTCCCTACCATGTACATCAAGACAGCTCCACACTCAATGTATTGGCTGTTTTTGGATCCCACTCTAAGGCAACAAAAATTCCACTTTTTTATGTACAAAGATTTTAAACACCTGGCATTCAGTCCTAAGACTACAGTGTTTATGTTTTACCTTGCAGTAACTGAGATTACAGACCCTTTACGTGCTCTTCTTGGATCTCACTTCTCTGTATTTTAACTGAGCAAATTTCATGCCTGGCAGAGTTGCAGAATTAGATTGCACAGAACTAGTACACCATACTACACTCATGTTTGCATCTTGCAAATATATGTGCAGCATAAGTATAACTTAGAAGGGTATGGAAAAAAAATCCTACCTGCTCTTCAATAAAACGCCTCTGTTTAAAAAATTCCCAGTCTTCCTTTAGCATGCGTTGTTTTGTTTTCATTGCCATCTAAAACAGAATTTAAGAAAAACTCATTGATTTAACAATAGAAAACCTACTTTGATGTCATTGGCCTGTTTCATTAAACCTAGCTTACCTATATTACTCTGCAAGTACTTACACTTAGTCAATATGAAATGTGTTTTATTTGCTAATAATTTGAGTCACTTAAACAAAAGATTTTCTATTTATTTATATGATTTTTCACTTGTATTTTCCACTTGGACTTTTCCACTCTTACTCCTTATGTTAATATTCCTTTTCATTAAATAGTTTCATAATATTTTTGACAAACAGTGATTGCTATTAAATACTCAACATTTCAGATTCATTGCAAACCATTAAAATCTAGAGATAATGGATTTACAGCAAGGCCCAGTGCAGGCTCAAGTGTAAACCCTGAAGTACCACATGTGCAACTAATCAGCCAAAGAGTCAAAGAATCAAAAGTAGTGACGTGGACTAACACTCTTTAATCAAAGTTTTTCATGCCCCTTGATTTATCTATCTAAGGCTGGAAAAAGACTTGATAATTGCTTGTCTCTCAAATCATATCAACCTAAATGAACACAAGAGTCTGTAACTTTTTGTACACAAATGCTATTTTACTGATTTAGTAAATAAATTGATTCTGAGGGAACACAAAAGCTTTCATGAACTCTAACACAACAAAATGCAAGAACAAAACTCCTCTTGTTGTACCTTACAACATTCTAAGATCATTACTTCATCAGTGAGGAAAAACAACTACCTGGGTTATCTTTTAATAGATATTTTTAAAAATTTACCTAAATAATAATAATCATCATCATAATCTATCACCTTATAGAATATAAGAGATTGCTTCATAAAATAGGTTAGTGAGCCAAAGACCACTGGGTTACACCACTACCAACATTCTTTTTATCTTCAAAAGCATGCCTCCAGAAATTAATACTTGATAAAAAGTTTAAAGTCCCACTACATTAAGCTAAGTACATTATTGCTATTATCATTATTTACTTAGGAAGATAAAATTTTAAGCTGGGGATCTGAAGCAGTATTGAGTGGAAAAAATCTGCCTAATTAATTTCTGAAACTATCAGCATCATATTTTAATTACTACTGTGGATTTGGATTTCCTTTACTCCAGTGAGATAACATTAACACCAAAAAATGAGTTTATCATTTATAAAAATTAGAAAAAAAAAAAAGACACCTATGAAATATTCTTAAATCACTCATACCATTTCTCAGACACATTAAAAGGTACTGCAGAGCCTATGGCAAGCAACATCAGGAACTTCATCCTGGATGAACTATCATCCCCTGAGAACCCTCGAGCTATATTTAAGGCCAGCAGCTCTCACTGGTTTGGGTGCCCTCACCATCAAAGTCAGCCTGCATTCACTACACTTTGTAAGAGAAGACTTTTAATGCCACAGAATGACATTTAAAACAGCCAGTGCATTAACTGGGAGCTGCCACTCAAGCCTGCCCAGAAATTGTCACAGCAAACAGCATAGGGCAAGGGCTGGTACCTGAGCATTAATGGGAACAGGAGCTGACACTCAAGTGTTCCTACTTCCACCTTTGCAGCCTTGCCAATACTCCATGTCTACAAGTATCTTAAGTTATTGATTCCATAAATAATAGAAACCCACTTCTCTTCCTCCTTTCTTTTCCCCAGTGAATATTTATTTCACCAGAGCAAAGCAGCTGCAATACAAACCACATGAATCATGCCCAAGAACTCTGCTAGGGAGTGAGAGATAAATTCAAATGCCATCAGAAGAAAAAATTTACACTTCAGTCTTGTACATCTGGACTGTGATATGAATAACACTGCCCAATGGAGAAGAGAGGGTCACTACCACCCTCTTGCTTCCTCCCTACTTATTTGAGGCTAAAAAGTATTTGAGCTCCATCAGACAAGCAAGACAGACATGTGAATAAGTATTCTTCCATTCTGAAATGGATTTAATCAAGAAATGAAACCAGAAGCCTGGTCAGAACAGAAACATAACATTAAATCACCTGTGAAAACTCTGATGTCCATACATATATCACAGGATGCTTGTTTCTCCCAAATTTTGAAGTCTGCACCAAATGTAAATCGCACATTTGATCTTCCCAAATTTCATGTGTGAACCTATTTTCCTAGACTATTTCATAAAAAATAACAAAAATAATTCCTCCCATCACAAACTCTCAGCACACAAAAATAACGATTGCTTCAATTACCTATACAGCCACCATAAAGACAAAAACCAATTTATGTCCATATTATTTTGTCTATTAAGTTGACCGGGTCTTAAAAAAAAAATAAAAATCACACATTAATATGGAGAGACAAATAAGAAGCTCTGCCTGGGCAAAAGCATTTCAGTTAAAAAATAAGTAAGAAAGGAAATAAAAAAAGGAAATCTTTCGGCATGAAGCACATATGACTGTCTAGCCATTACTTGCTGAAATAACCCAGGACCTCCTAGGTAAACGTAATCTAAGTTTGGTAAGGAAATCAGAATCTGGATGTACAGGTTGCATATACTTAAAACTCTCCTGTACTCCAGATACGCCAGTTTTTCCAAAGATGTAGCATATGATTATTACAGGCACCGATAAAGATGATTGCTTATTCTAAACTTCATCACAGCATACACACATGGCCCAGTGTATTCAGTTATATCTGTGCATGGCACAACTATCTTACAGAGTCTTAAACAATTAATATTTGTACTGCTTGCAAGAGCTAATCTCTTTTTTTTTTACCAACAAGTAACATAACATACTATAGTGGAGGGTCCCTCAATTATCTTTGCTGATGGACTCCTCTGGGTACAGTTCCACAATGCATAAGTGAGAACCATTCTTAAATCTCCTTTCCTTTTTAACTTTTCAAACACTACCAAGAAAACCTCACAAGTTTGTTGAGCCAATAAGCAAGCAACTAATGAACATGCATTCACTATTAAGTGAATGATTCACAGTTTCTGTAGCAGCTGGGCTTTCTGATTTCTACCTTGTGGACAAAAATATCACTGCAAATTCAGGTATGATGGCTATACTGAATAATGTATTTTTGATCAAGAGTATAACCACAGGTTATCACCAGCACACGGCTTAAGGTATGACTGTGAAAATGCTTTTTCCTACAAATAAATAGCAACATAAATATGACTAAATAGCAATATAAATATGACTATCTTCTTTAAAATTTGAGGGTTTAAGTTTTACTGTCGCTTCTCCTACACACCCCCCACACATCGTTGCAGGTACTTTTGGTCATTAGGAAATAAGTCATCACATTAAATTTCCCAACTGGGAGAAGAGTGTCTGTCTGCATAGGATACAGGCATCACTGAGCAAATCTAAAAAATGCTACAAGACAGGACTTGTGGCAGCAGCATGGTCACTTGATAAAAAGAAACACAGAAAAGTCAGTTAAGAGCTGACCAAGTGGTACAGGACAACCAGTCAGAAACCAAATATGAATGTGACTCTACAGAAATGCCATTTAAAAAAATAGCTGAATGATGGCAGTGAAGTGGGGTCCTTTCTTACTAAAGAGGCAATATCAGACAGCCATGACACCCTGACACCATGGGAAAGATGACTTCTAATAGCATAAAATGTGAGGTGATGACATTTTACTGGGCTGCAGTCAAATGTTTAGATGCACAAAAGCAGCCAGACCAAGAGAAAACTTTTTAACTCAAAGCTCACAGATGCAGTCCCCAAATATAGAGTGAACTCTAAAAATAAAATTAGTTATATCCTGTCTCCATCGATAAGGCACTGAAATTAATGGTAAAAGTTCACTTAGATCTTCAACACAGGGAACAACTTCTGAAGGACATTTACAGTGCATCATAAGACTTAACTATGGTTGTCATCTATAGAAGCAACACAGTATTACTGAATCTCAAATTAGTTCTCCACATTCCCACTGTTCATAAAACTTCAAAATAGAAGAAAGATTCTAGATTTCATAGAATTCACTATCTTCAGTTATATTTCCAAGACATTTTTTCTTCTAGAACACTCAGGATTGAACTAAGCAGATATTCACTTTTCCTGAGGTGTTTAAAAAAATGAATTATTTTGAGCATGAGGCAAAAGCCACAGGAGAAATTTTTGAGGCGTATAAACAACCACTTGCAAAGTAAACAGCTATTTTCCTGAAAATTAAGCTCTCAGCAACCTAAGAGTCAGCACAATGACATGATTATTCTCTGAAATGTAGCACAAATTCAGAAGAATAAGCTATCAGACCATATACTTGATTAAAGGACTGCTTCAGAAGTCTCAAATATTTATGCCTTGAGACAAACTGGAGTTTCCATTTTGACAACTGTACAATGATCACCATGACACTATGAACCATAGAGTAATTTTTAAAATCTACCTCTTCCTCTGGATTTCATTTAATGCGCTTATTATTTTGAAAGCTTAGGGGGTTTTGTGGAACAGGTTATTTTATTTCCTATGGCTCATTTACTAGCTAACATATTTATAAAATGCTCAAAGACCATCTCTAAACAAGAACACAACAGTCAGCAATTTGAATATGTCATTGTACAATCACCACTAAGTATTTTAAGTTCATGCTTTTCTATTGTGAATGACTTACATGAATGAAAAAAGTTACATTTTGTTGCTTCAAAGTCCTAGATAAAAATACCCAAGAAATTATTCTTCACTGGAGGCACAGTCCTGCATGGACTGCTCCCTACATAATCTTGAGACTTTTTGCATGACTCTTACCTGTTCATCAACATAATCATCTATTCTTTTCTGGCATTCAAGCCATGCTTCAGCAACTTGGCCCATTTCCTGTTCCAGTTGATGATACCTTTGTAGCAAGGTACTGTACATATCTTCACTACAGGAATCGTGGGTTGTTCCAAGCCTGAAAGTTCAAACAGCACTTGTTACACAAGAGACATTTCACTGAAGAATCACACTTTTAAGATCTGCCAGCCAAAAACAATGTTGTGAAAATGTGACTGCTGACACACCTAGGCCCACAGAGTTGCTTGTATCCCAAAAATTGAGTATTTTTAGCAGTTTTTCAAAAAATACCCAAACCCTGCTTATTCCAATCTTCTGTAACCAACAATAGCAAGAATGTGGGAAGTGCCACATTGCTAGAGCCTCTTTCCCATGAGCAACCAGATGACAAACCTATTTGTTCAAATTTGGTTGCTTGATATATTTATCCTTCCAAATTCTATGGGCTAAATATACATGTTGACTATCCACTGCAGAATTACGTAATAAAAATAAAGCCAGAACTCTCATGACCAATGCTAAAAAGAATACCAGACGAGTTGGAGTTCCAGGTGGGAAATGTGCTGTAGAATGAGGCAACTGAGATACAAGCAGTTATCTACTATCACTTGAGCAGCATGGGATGCACAACATGGGGATGCCACTCACTGCTGACTGTGTCTGTGAGGAGCCCCAGAAATAGGAGACACACTTACCTCCCTTCCTACTGCTGCATTTTGCACAGCATAATGTTTCTTAAGCAAATATGTCAACTCCCAATACACTGACTTGACAAATAATAAAAGACAAAATTCTACTCAATAACATGTGTTTAAACCACACTGAATTGTAATGCCAAGTGACATAAATAAACTGAAGCTTTACAACATTTTTCTACTCATTAATAAAGAGAAGCTGTGTGATAATTAATTAGTCACAGAGGTTGTGTAGCAATCAAAGCCAGTAGCAAAAAAAAGAAAATTGAAGCAACACAAAACGTGATATTTAAGCCCAGTTCCAGCATTCCAGGGAGGTTATAGATTTTCATTGCAATAGGATGTCAACCCAACCTCAGAGCCACACAGTCCTGCTATCACCTGGCAAAGAACTAACCCCTTAACTTGGCAATTAAGCACAATGGAGAGCTGAGCAAACAGACAACTCAGTAAGCACCAAGTTACAGCTGATAGTGTGAACTTGCCAATAAATTCAAATTTGTTTTGTTGGTTTTGCCCAGAACCTGCAACACAACCACTTAAGAAGGGTGCACAAGCAACTCTGCACATTAAAACCTGGGCTGTCCATGGGTTGAACAGTGCAAAAAGAAGTTTCAGTGGATACAGTGTCTTCATGCTATAACACTTCCCTACTATTAGTATAAACACTGTCAACTCCTGTTACTAGACCACAATTTACTACTTTTTTTGGAACTTTTGTTTCTAGTATTATGTAATTATGTGAAAATCAGATCCCTACTATAAAAAATTCAGTAATTTGTTATCATTACTGCTCCTGACTAGTACTACTCTTTCACACAGCAGTTGTACATGAAATAATTTTTAAAATATGCTCAAGTTAGAAGAAAAAGAACTCAATTAAAAAATTTGTAGTAGCAATGCAATAGCATTTACACTTTAATTTTTTATTGTGACTCTGAGTAAAGGTAACATGATCCTAGTAAACACACTTTCACCCCCAAGGCAAGTATAAAGTAACAATTTAGTTAACATTTCAGTCCTCTTAACAGAGGTGCAATAAGTTCCTCAACTGCAGTAAAAACAAAGATAATAAAAAGGATAACACATACATAAAATTTAACAAGAATTGCTCACTTCAAAGTAACTGAGACTTTCAAGCCATACCTGTTGACAAACTGTATGCCTACATATTTTGATCAGGAACACAATTTTTTTGGACAATGGCATTTAACCAAAGCTCTGCAAATATCCTCACCACTGTCCCATCTCATGCTGGAAAAGCAAAGGGGACAGAGAAGCCCCAGACATTGGTCACTTCATTGGTCACCACATCCCAATAAAGCAGTGTGGTGAATTCAGAGGGCACATCAGAGGCTGCATGTAATCAGAGGCACCTTAACCCAATCAATATTATTTAACCTCTAAGAAACTCTTCATATTGACACCTTTATCACTCACCTTTGGAAGAACTGGATTTCCTCAAACACTCATTATGAAAATACATCCTTATGAGCTGCTGTGTCTGACCCAGAAGCCCTGCTGAATAATTAACTCTTACCAAGCCATGGACTGCCCTTGCAGCTGGTCTGCAGACTGTGCAGCTGAGCTGCCTCCTAACAAGCCACAGATGTAGCCAAACAAGACACAACACATGAAGACCCAGGTAGTTTACCCCAGCAGATGTCCCCTGTCAGCTGTGCAATACTGGCACAGCTAATCTTGGATCAGCTAAGCAAACTCCATCCCCACAGAGCTGCTGTTCAAACCCCACTATGTGAACACCTTTTCGAGTCTGACATCTGATAAGCATCCTTGGAACTAACCACAGAACACCAACTACATATTTTGAAAAAGTCAGTTATACAAAAAATTTAGTGATTTAAGCAAACGATGAAAGAAAGGACGAACACCCAAAATCTAAGCGATGCTGAGATGTCAAAATGCCATTTCACATTTCTCTTCAGAAAGAGAAAATAATGAGGCCAATGCTCTTTTTGTAAAGGAACTCTGGCAATACGTTCTCTACTGCACATAAGTGATTCTCTGTTCACCAAATGTCCAGAGGACTAGGCTGATCCCTGCTTTTCCATGTGAGGCTTCTGTGATGGAACATTTCTCCACTCATTTCCAATGGAAGGAAGAAACATATCCTTCCCAGAGAAATCTAATTCTGTCACTTCAAGATACAGAGAACTCAACAATAAAATCCTGAGAGACCATGAACACAAACAGAATCTATGTTTATCAAAGAAAAACAAGACAAACACTAAATAACCTAGGAATGGGAAGCTTGTGCTGAACCTCTCCTGTCAAAAAATTATTCATGTCAACCAAACTAGGCAAAACCATAAGTTCAAGGATGTTTCACATAAACTACCTAGAAAACACAAATGCACTGGAAAACAAAGTCCTGCAGGAAGAGATTCTGATTTCATCATATTTGTAAGCTTTGAAGATGGCTGTCACCACAGTGACAGCAGAAACACAACTTCTGACTTAAAGTCAGTTGCTCTGACTTTAACTGCAGTAGCACAGAACAAGTACAGGAAACGAAAAATGCTTCTGTTAGGAAATAACCACAAAGCTCACTAAGAGCATTCTCAGCTCTGCAGATAAAGGCAATACAAATACTTTTATATAGTCAGGACTGCTGGAGTAAAGAGGTACAGAGAGACCTTGTCAAAAAGCATGGACATGATGAAGGATAGTCACAGAAAAAGAAGGCACAGATCACTGGAAAAATACACAATTAACATGCTGCTGAACACAGCAACAAAATCAGCTGTTGGGGCAGGGAGATGAAGGCTTTCAATATCAACCCAGTTCCATCTAAACAAATCAGGTAACTTATGAAGGACCTTAGACTTGCTGAGCCTGGCAACAATTCAGTTTTTTTGTCTCTTCTTTTTTCCTTTCTGGTATCTACTAGCAAATGAAGGACTCAAAAGAAATTTTTTGATTCACTGTGTACAACATCTCTTGTAGCAGAATTAGTCAAACTGCTCTTGCACCATGGAAAATTACCCAAGACAAGACATGATGTACACAGATCAAATATGTGTCCTCATCACAGACAAGACTGAGAGGTCAACATGAACCACCCATGACTGTATGTTAAAAATGCTCAGGCTTAGGGTAAAGAAAATTTCTATTAATACCTCTTTCCTAGAAAACCCAAACATTTTGGCAGTACACAAATTACAATCAGAGCAACCCTACTAAGAAAATACACAATTTAATGCCTCAGGAGCTTTAAAGCATGAGACCTACAAGCATACAGCAAGGGGGTTTCTCCAGTGAGAAGATGCTTAAAATTCCAAATTCAGTTCTGTGCACTATGGGAAGCAGAAGGTAATGAGGCTTTAATTTGCTTGTAGAGCTGTAGAAACAGCAGCAATGCCTGATAACTGAAAAAAGTACTACTCAGTCATACCATCAGTATTTACACAGGATGCTGTCATTTTACTGGGTAACCTACAACTAAGCAAATTAGGGTTGTAATTCTTCTGACAAGCAAGTTATGACAGCAGTCTGATCAATCAACACTCTTTTCAAGAGAGATCCACAAAGATTTTTACCAATTCAATTGCAGCAGCATATTTTTTTAATGCTGTGGTTGCAAACATGGGTTTTCATCTCTTCTTGAAACCACAAAACAAAAGTTAAACTCTACCTTAGCTGTGACACCAGCGTTGGCAAGCTATTCTGCAGGAGTGGCTCAGAAAATACCAAATTTTCAAACAGATGCTTGTTGTGCAATTCCCATGTCACCTGAAATTTCTTCAAATGTTCATTTTCCTATAATGATAAAACAATCAGAAATAAACCAGGGTTAAGGAAAAAAACCAAAATTCGGTACAAGGTAAGATTTTTAAAAAAAGTCTAATTTCCAACCTACAGGCTGTATGAACCAGCTCAGATCTTATGCAGTTGTAAAACCCAAACCCTCAGAACTGAAGCGATTTTTAATGACTTAAATAACCATAGCATCAGTCTTTCTAAATTGTCATGAATTTAAGGAAAAAAATAATTTTAAAAAATCAGTCTACATTATTCAAAGTTCTCTTTCATCTCTGCACCAAAAGATGCATTTTATGATCTGAACCCATAATTCTCAGGTTTTCTTGTCAAACAATTGTCTAGTTATGATTATTTTTCAGTTTTTTGAACTTATCTAGTAAAAGACATAAACAATGTGAACCTATAATCTTTATTCAAAACTGACATAAAATCAAATAAACAGTTCTCCTCAACTACAGCTTAAAGAATGAAGTTCTCTAAACAGAAGAGACCAACAGCTTACTTCTCCAGTAAGCAGAATATTCTTGTATTTGAAGTTATTTAACACATAATTGTATGCAATTTCAAGAGGTAAACTTTAAAACTATTATCATTAAAACACAAGAATTCAAAACATGTATAATATACATTTCAAGGCAGCAAGTTTTCCTACATATAGCCAGCATTATTCAGGTTTTCTATACCAGGACTCAACCACACAGCAGAATTAAATGCAAGCATTTTGGTTCTCAGGTCAGCAAGTAGGCCTTAAGTACTATAGCCCCAGGCACCCAGAAGCACCATTATACTCTGGAATTTTAAAGTTTTGTTAATAGCAGTGGGTCAAAAAATAAATCAACCAAACATATTTATATCAGACCTGAAGACAAGACTACCAGCATTAAAAAAAAAAAATCAATTAAGTTCAAAGTATTATTATTAAGAAGGGTGAGTGGTGAGGTTTTATGAGTTGGACAAGACACATGTACTTTTTCATTTTGAGTATTATGTCTTCAAAATATTTTAAATTTCTATAAAATGCTAATAATTTCTCAAGGTTCACTGAGGCTGACTTCTCAAGGAATTTCCATATATGCTGTGAACTAAGCAATAAACACTTATCTACAAACTCCTGTGTACCAGTTTGTGCAGATTGTGGTATTTCTCACAAAGAAACATCAGGAAAGTTTTCTTCTCTACTCTGTATGCTGTGTACTTGAGGGCCCTTCTGTACTGACCAGAGTCCTTGCAAATTGTTGTCAGTATAATCTGTCATTCCCTGCATTGTTGGGGCACAAAGCTTTAGTTCCTGCTACTGAAGTCAGATGAATTCCTTTGAAAGGCAGGACAACTATTCACAATTTCATTGAGAAATCAGTTTCTCACAGGTGGAGGTTCAAGGCATTAGATGCCTTTATACAGTACACTACATGCAAAGCTTTCATCCTTAAAAGGAAGGCAGCACCAAGTTTAGAGGTCTTGGCTGCCTGTTACGTATTTTAGCTGAAAAGAGTCCTTTTTCCATAGTGTACTGGTATCTTCAGAAGAAATATCCATGTACACTGAAAAAACTAGTGACCCTACTACCTGTACTGCAAGCTGTGATGTACTACTCAATTTAACAAATGGGTTATTTAATAAAGCTGAGAAATGTATGACAAGAGACAGTATCCTACACTCTCACATTTCAGTTTCTCAAGGCCATAGCTTAGTAAAAAGATGTTTTCAGTACTGACTGGGCTACAGAAGGAAAAAGACAAGAAAATCTGGCATATTTTCTGTTTTCTTATGCTTCATTCTTTAAAAGAGGAGAAGAATTTTATTTTACTTTAAATTTTGTCAGGAAAGGGGTTGACTAGGGAGTTCAAGCACCTTCTGTTTTCTCATGGCTATGATTTCCATCTCCCATACCTACTGGCTTTCATAACTACTAGTTCACAGCAATTGCCAGGAAAAAGGTATACAGTGGTTATTTTCTGATCAGCTGTGTAATTCTGGCATTAAAGGGTTCATTATTGGCAGAGCCACTTTGAGAAAGCTGAGGTGCACTGCAAACCATTTGCTTTACAGCTGAACCAGCTGCAATGCAAACCAACCTCAAGAGCAACCTTCTCTCAAGCACTTTGTTAGAAAATTATTGACTGTTAAAAGCAGCCAATAAACAGGAGATAGCAGTGACCTCATGTCTCTATCTAAGTGATAAAGCTGAGAAAGATAATAGAGACAACAGCAAATACAGAGCATAGACAACAAAAAACCCCATCAGATATGCTCAAGTTTCTTAGAAGAAACATCTTCCTGCTTTGCCAATTTAATTTTATTGACAGCCCTACTTCAGTAATGAAACTCTGCCTCCTCTCCACTTTATATCCTCACCTGAGGCCATCACAGTGTATGCTCCATCTGTTTTTTCCTCTCTTTACCCTTTCAGACTGCCACTTGCACCTAACTGGCAATAAAATCCAAATTCCCCATTTTTGCCACCTTTTTTTTAATCCTTGCACAAAGCTTACACAAGAAAACGAATGGGCAGGATGACAACATTAACATAGGATGCACAAGAAAGGATTATTAACAAAACAGGATTAATAACCTTCTAAGACCTTAAACAAACAGAATTACAGAACATGCTTATGGTATTACTCACCCAATGGACAGTTACTCAAGAAGACATTTTTAAGGCTACTGCCTATTTTATAGCCAAAAATGTAATCCTAAGTCCAACATCACAATCAGTTGGCAAAAAAAGCGTTAAAGGTAGAACCTTAGAAATAATAAATTACATAGCAGATAAAGGCTGAGGCAACACAATGTCTTCAAGTAGCCATCCTAGACTGTGAATGAAAAGTTGAAAAATTTTCACTCAAAATCCAGGGTGGCTACTTGAAGAGATTGTGTTGCCTCAGAATATATGGAAACAATTTAAGTTAGTGCTACACACAGAAGTTGGTGTCACTTAATCATGGTTGTGAAGCTACCATTAAAGATGACCAGAGAAGAGTTTTCCACATTAGGATTTCTAATATTTTGTACGTCTGCTTAAAGATCTGTTTCAGATTAAATGCCACAAACAACACCCCACCTTTTTCTTTATGAACAAAAAAAAATTACATCAAGCCTGTATACATAAGAGATGCCTACTTCACACTTCTGAATATTTAACTCCATTTTCAGAATCTCCCTGTCTCTAATGATGAACACAACCACAGAAGACACCTGAAAGAGCCCAGAAATAACTTTGCCAGCATCAGCCCTGGCAAGCAGAAGCACAAAGCTGTTTTTTCAGTCTTACCAGAGTAACTAGGAAGGCGCTGATTGTACAGGCTGCCTGGCAGAGTGCACTGTACTCCTCAAGCAGGAGGGAGATGAACTGCTGGGCCTGGGGGGGCCCCTCTGTGGCTAAGGTCGATGCAACCTTGGATCCCAGGGACAGGTGTCTGAGCAGGCGAACCTTCATCTCCAGCACGTATTCCCGAGCCTGCTGCTCCAACCGTTGGTAAAGCTGGTATGGATCTCTTTCACAAAGCCTTTAGTTTTACAATATTTGTGACACAAAAGAAAAAAAAAAGAGAGTGTGTAATCAACAGCTTTCATTTTCCTAGGAGTATTTACCAGTTACCATTATCCTCATAAAAAATAACCTCGGTGGCTCAGGTTTAGAGAACTACCTTAAATCTCAGAGAACACAGTCCAGTCCCCTACTTGTACACATATGGGACTGAGCTCCTGTGTACCTTAAGGAATAGGATGCCTGCGCACCCGAGGAGTAAAATTATTTAGGATTTAAGATTTCACTTCAACTTGTGAGCTCAAAGTCTTAACACCATTTGCATCCAGCCCTGCAGGCACCCAGACTATTCAGATAAGCTTCTTCACAATTTCTCCATGATGTTCTTAACATGTGACAAATTAGTGCCTACAGAAGAAAACTGACCATGATGGCTGCTTTGAACCACTTAAAATAATCCAATTTCACTCTAAATTTCTGTGCATGGAGTTTAAGCATGCACAGAATGCTTTGGGTTTTTTACAGCACAGGGAGAAATGAATGGGTTAAGTACTTAAGAGTTAGATGAATATAAGTCTGCAGCTATCTAATCCATGCTTTTCCCTCAGCACTCACAAAACAGTTCTATCATACTGCCAGCAAGTATTCCAACATACAATAGGAACATTAGCTGGCACCACTACTTATTCCAACAAAAACAACCAGACACTCCATTTTTTGCCAGCTGTGTCTAACAAGAGCCAAGCATGGAAGTGGGAATTTCTGCCTTTTAAACAGAGTTACTCAACCACAGCATGGTCTTCTGCATCCTACCTAAATGGAAGGTATTTTAAAAATGCATTCAATACCTACATTGACCAGCTTTGTAAAAAAAATCTGCATGATACTAGCACTAGAGACTGGACACACTGGTGCCTGCCCAAACTGTATCCTTTTTTATTTTTCACTTTATAGACCATAAGAAACTCAAGTGAAAAATAATCCAACTGGCATTTAAGGATTGCTTCTTCGAAATCCTGTTTCTGTCTTTGTATTGTTAATAATCTCTCTCAAAAGTGAAAAACAGTTCTGAGTAATGAAAGCTACTGAGTACGTAAGCAAGTTACACAGTATTATGTTCTGATTTCCAAAATTTTTCCATTAAGGAGATGCATAACATCAATAACCACTTCAGCTGTGATTCAGTTTTAATTACCAACACACTATGCAACATTTAAACATCTTTGAGTTCCAAGCCTATATTGCACGTTTTAAACACTTGAATAAACGAAGTGTGACTAATAGGGAGGGACATTATATTGCTCTGCTTGTACACAACTCATGTATGAAACCAAACAGATTTTATATAAACAAAGAGCAATATGCTTATTTAATTATCTACTAAAGCCAGTTCAGGTGTACAGTCATATTAAGAGCAGTGCTAGATGAATTTCTCTTTCAAATGTGTCTTTACCTCATCAGAATTTAGGTTCAACTAGAAATTGAGAACTACAGCTCAGGTGAGACTGCTCAGATCTCAGTATATTAAACATATATGGAACCAAGGAGAACAAAAAGTCCTTGACCACACATGGAGTTAGAGAGAAACTGAGATGATCCTACTGGAGCCCTTCAGGGTTTGCCCCACTATTCTAAAAAGCAGAAAACTCTCCACTGAGGATCTCATTAAGCCCATATTCACTTCAACACCTTAAAAAGCTACAATTATGACTTCTAAAGTAAGAATGAAATTGGAATCTGCCTCATCTAGTGATCAGTGTCCAATCTAACTTTTCTTTATTTTTATAAAATTTCTTCCAGGTATTACAATCACAGTTTGGTACAACACTAACTATTACTAATTCAGGCTAGTTCCACAAAGTAAGATTTTCACATGGGGCAATTCAAACTTAACAGTGTCTTATTGAAAAATCCTGAATAAAATAGAATGAATCCTCTTTGAAGTATTATACCTATCCACCAGCTCTTTCATTCCTTCTTTATCTGGTACCAACGATTGGTCTTGGTCATCTGCCAGAGGGGTCCCAGCTTGACGATAAATACACCGGACCATGTATCTGACTTCAGACCAGTAATTCTGTAGCTGCTGAGGTTCACGTTCAGGCTCTGCTGAATTTTCTCTGCATTTGAAGACAAAAATAATTACCCTCTGTTTGTATGCATCACATAAGTGTTTTGATTCCTACTATTCCAAAAAACAAAAAGTACATCTGAAAATGCCTAGAATAAAGTATGAAACTGGGTGAATACTGACGTGCAGAAATTACTGTTTCAAGAGTTTAAGCACACACCTACAAACAAGCTGCAACACTGCCAAAGTCTGACTACAACCTCTGTGCTGCTGAGGATCAGTTCAGCTCTTACCTGCGTTCATTACAGGCCTCACAGTTGCACGCTATGTCTGAAGGAGAGGAATTGCTAAGATCTGCAGCAGGCACTGTCTGTGCACCAACAGTTATTCTTCCTCCTCCTACAGACTCCTGCTGTGATCCACTGTTTCCAAGAGGCATGTGCAAAAGGAAATCTTGGCTCTGAAAAACAAAAAGAATAACCCAAACAGTCTGTAAGGTCTGAAATGATATTAGGTAGACAAATATTTAAGTGGCAATTGTTAGTCCTGCATGTATTTTGGAAGGACACTCAATCAGGCACAAAGAATTAGTCTTTCAGAAGCCTAATAAATGCAAGAGATGAACAGAGACGACCAAAGATACAAACAAAGCTTCATTTCTAATGACCAAAGTACACTGGCTATAATTATCACCTTTATGTACTTCAGCATAAACAATGAACTAAGCTAAAGGAAGGCTTGCATCACCCACACTTAATCATAAACCAGCACTATCTCTTCAGTCTCCATGTAACAGTGTGTTTGGCTTCCGGAGTTTAACAATCCCTTCTAGTAAAAATGATAAAATCTCCTTGTTTGTAACAGCCAGACAGTATTTCAGAGCAATGGATGTCAGAAAGCTGCTGCCATTGGAGATGGATGCAATCTCCTGTGCACAGTGCTGTTCAATTCCAGCAGATGACACAGACCACTCACCCAAACTGCTGCTATTTTTGTCTGCAGTTTCTCTCCCTTCTCTGTGCTCCAGCCCCAGCACACGCCACGCTTCTCTCCTACACCCTCCCAAGTCTGCCACCAGATTTCCCTGGCACCAGGCAGAAACCTCTCTCGCATCAGTACTGTGACTGAAGGTGGGTTTTTCTGTGCCCCAAATCCTGGATCAAGAAGCAGACACAGGTAAGAACAAACCTGCATGCAGTTGCTACCAAGCAAGCTAATGAGAGCAGCAGCAACCTGAACACAGGAACACCTATAGCAAACCACCTGTATTCTGACTTGCAGTCATTGGTAACATTTTTTTTTTTTAGCTAATTTTGGCTTTTTTTCCCCAGCTGGCTTCTCTAATTTGACCAATTCATATAGTCGCCTTTTTAAGTCAAGCTTCCAACCTTGGAAAATCTATTTGGTGTCTGCGTGTCTGCTTTTAAAAATTCCTCTTTAAAAAGAAAACTGTTGCCAAATTAAAAAAAAAAAATCTGAATTTTTATTTACACCTGGAGTATCTGTAAGTTAACAAAACATGTAGGAAGCAAAACCTGCCTTCCTTGCAAATCTAGAACACTCATTTTCTTTGCTAGTTCCTTAAACAGAGCTTAAATGTGTTAAAAGATTTGACTCAACTGAACAATAATGTGCCTCGGTCTTGCTGTGCTTTGAACTCCCTAGGATGTGTTTACCACCATACCACCACTATAATTCCCTTAGATGTAACCTCTTTTGATTAGTTAACCACCCTTGTTAATAGCAACATTATCTGTAAACACAAGTTGTATACGAGTGATATACTCTTAGATTTTCCTCACAAATAAAGGTCCTTATCTATACTTTTAACACAAGCTTAACAACACCCCCTATACAATCTTCCTTCACAGTGATTTACTGAAATAAAAACCTGTATGTGCCTATGGGTGTGTGCACAGCCTGTTAGCTCTCTGCAAGGAGGTGTCAGCTGCAATCTACAGCACTTCCAATTATCCCAAGTGTGTGACTTCCAGGTCAGTCATGAAGACTTGGTTCTGCAGTATAACATAGTTTGCTTCCAATGAGGTTTTGCTGGACCTGTCAATGAACTCTTAGCATCTTCCTGCAACAATAAGCACAGCTCTTACACGAGGTTGAATTCACAACTTGAAATATTAGCACCACATATTAAATTGGTACTCGCTGTGCTACCAAGACTAGGAAACTGTTACATTCATGCTATGGAAAGTTGTGCTTCTTTATTAAAAAATGCAGGAAAGAAAAGAGCAAAACTCAGAAATCTGCAGGAAGGTGTCAGTGCAAGTGCAGTGACTCAAGAAGTCCACTGAAAGAATAAGGAAAATTCTGACAGTTTACTTCACAAAGAGAGGAAAACACACTATGAGCAGACAGAATAGAAAGTGCAATGAGTAAAGTCATGTTGGTAAAAGTAGAAGAAATTGTATTTAAGTACAGGGGATAAGGACAAAGCTTGAGATCCAATGAACTAAAAGCAAAAAGCTCAGTAAAAAACAGATCCAAACCTTGCTCTACTTAAAACTCCTCAACTCAGAACCAGAACTCCTCACTTTTGGAAAAACTTCCCTGTTCATTTTATATAAAGCCAACTCAAAATCACCTAAAAAGCTTTTCAAGCATTTACAGCTCCAGTGGTGCCACAGCACAAAGTGTCATGCAGCCCATAATTAAGCATCTTCTCAGTTTACCGAGCTACTTGAACTTACCACGAGAGACTGCTCTATTGTAGCGTGCCTCTCCTCCTTTTCCACTGTTCTTCTACAGTCTGGACACACCCACAGTGGGAGGTGCAGCATGTTGTTTGCTTTTGGAGATGTGGAAAGTGCTGTTTTGCTGGAATTCTTGATTCCGCTGTCTGAAAGCGAAGTATCTTTGCGCTCACTTCTACAAAGAAGACAATGCTCGCCAGTTGTATATGGTGCCCTCTGGCCCAAGCCAAAGGTAAATGGTGTCTACAAACAAATGTTTTGATAGATAACTGGTTATTCACAGAGTACATATGAGTACATATTCTGATATTTGAAACTAACAACAAAACCCCCCAAAACCAACACACATATTTTACTAGTCATTATAAAAGTGAATACTTGGAGTGTCCCAACAAACACAGCAATCTCAATATCCATGAGGCAAACAACTCAGACTATTAATACATTCCCATTTAAGAGCATGGTCTACAGTCTTTCCCTCTAAAATATTTTGGCCTAGATGTAATAATCCAGCAAGTAAAATTAAAAAAGGATATTTACTTTTACTGTCACTATTTACAGATAAAAAAGAAAAATATCTCCACTTTGAAGCTCTGTGACACTTCCTTTTATAATACTACCTGAAACAAAGTCACTTTCAGCTAAGCCTATTACAAAATAAAAGTTTAAGTCAGTTTCAACAACACAACTCAAAAGGGTCCTCAAATCCACTATCAGCTATTGAATCAAGCAGACTTGGCAGCTTACAAGGACAGAGGTACTTCAAAACCTGAATTATTTTCCAAGATGCTACTGAGCATGAAACTATGGTTCAGCCATGAAATGCTGATTCTTCACCAAGGCTGATAGTAAAAAACAACTCGGGCAGCACAAGACAAAGAGAACCCAATTTTATCAGACATAACAGATGACTGGAATAAAACATCATGTAATGGCAGAATCACAGATTTGCCCAATTTTATTACAACTGCTAACTCTGCCTTAATTAACAACACCTTCTATGTAAGCATCAAAATAGTTTAATTCTTTCTCAAAGAAAAGGCAAATTTTAAGTAATACAAGCACTGCTCTTGATACTGCTCTAATCTCAATACTAACAAAAATATAGCTTTAAAGGTCTTGTAAGGCTCAATTGCACAAGCACAGGTGAACAATTCTTTAGGGCAAAGGACCAGTTCAAGCTAAACCATAATTCACTCTCTTCTTGTCTTCACAGCAACAACAAATCAATTCTGTAGTGCTGACATCTAAAGAAAAACAGCAAAGCATTACAGACACTGATTTTTGTGTTCTTCACATTTGTAAAACTGACAGACTCAGCAATATGGAAAGGAAAATTAACAATTCTAGAACATAAAAACCCAAAAGACAGATTGATTTCATCTCCATAAATATCTTCCTATCTTTCAAAAATTCATGAGAAATTTAACAGATATATTAAGAACAGCTAACCTTCGCTCACTGCTGCCACTTGTGGAATTTGCACCTAAGCACTAAAGGCAGGAAAAAGAACACAAACTCTCCAGGAGTCTACTGCAGGTTTTTAGAAAACCTTCTCGTGCAGGAAGACTCCCTCTGCCAGCTGAAAGGCCAGGACTGACCAATTCCTTTATAGGCTCTACAAGCACCAAGAGATTTCCCAAGTTAGACATTGCTCTTGGCTGACCTGCACCCAACTGAAGATCTCATTCATGCCTAAAACCCCTGCAGGAGGCCATGGCTGCTTGTCCCTTAGCCCTGAATGTTTCCTTCTTAAATCAAGTTTTTTTTAAGCCAGATTAGGTGAGTCCCTGTCAGAATGATGACATCTTCATAGCTATTTTGCAGGCAAATCCTTATGAACATCTTATATAGGACATCTTCCAACAAGCAGGAAAAGAAGAGGACAAAAATGTAAAAGTTCAGAAGCTAAGACAACCTGACACTTACTCTTTTGCAAATGTAAAGGTCATGGCAAACACACCTTAGCCACTCTGCAGGGACTTCTAGAAGTTAAGATGTGTGTAACTTCCTTAAAGCTGCACCACAATCACTAAAAAGCCATGGCAAACACAGCAGGAACAACAATCTTTGTTATGGCCACGCTCACTGAACATTTACATTTCCAACAGGAGTGAATCTCAAATTAAAGCCCTTGGTTCCTAGAGCACAATGCAAATCAAGAATCAAAAGTGAAACTTCAACAAAATCTAGACCACAAGCATGTCTGATACCTGTTATGACTCCATCCTACTAAAATGTAGCAATAAATTGCAGTTTCTTATTTATTTAAAGCATGATGAATGCAGTGAGTGTTCATGTGACCGTTTCAACATGAGCAGCAAACTCTTGCTGGATTAGCAGAGCTTGCAATTAGGTCACATTTGTATGTCTCTTCAGTGCCATCAGAGCAAAGTGCACATTTTGTGAAAAGCAGGATATTTTTCCACTAGTCAAGCTTCAAAAAATGTGGGATGCATCTCTGCAAGAAAACACCCAGGCTCACTTTATCTCTGAAACATGTTCAGATATAACATTCATAAATGAAAGCTGGAAGTAGGACATGTTGGAACAGAAATAACTGCATCTCTGCTATGTATTTAGATTTATTTCCAAGAATAACTTTATTACCATAAAACTGCATAGATTTTTTTTAACATCCAGGTCTAATTTCAAGCATACTGTAACAATAAAATTTTACTAAAAAAAAAAAGATTCCATTTTTTTAAAGCTTAAATAGGAGATAATCACAAATTGACTTCAATTACCAGCATCCCAATCTCACACAGCATTCTTTTCAAAGAGTTTGATTTACTACCTTTAATACTGCTTAGTATCTTCTCCCATTCGTAAATAATTCTGCTTTTATATATACCCACAAAATTTGACTGCACATACCTGAGAAACACCTGTGAATTCTGATCCAACAGAACTGTCTGTAAACTGTGTACCATTTAGTGAAACCTGGAAAAATAACAAGAGATTGGTTACAACAGTTGAGTTTATTGCTAAAAGAGCTTTATAAAAATTAAACAAAGTCTTCCTCAGTATCTGAAGACTGATACAACAGCTTTTGAAATTTGAATCATCGACTGCAGAGACAGAAATCTGCTTTTCTTTTTTACAAAAGTTCTACAGATGCAAAAGTTTAGATTTTCAACTTTTGCACTATAGCTGTTTCAGTAACAACTCTGAGCTGAAAGAACTGATACAGGAAAACAGAAAAGTCATAAGCAAAACTGCATTTTTCCTTCAGTATTCGATTGCTTGCATTTAGCTTTTGAACTTCCACTGTAAATCAAAACAATTAACAAAGATTCCTGCCTTTTGAAAGCTGACTACCACACTGCTTAGAAAAATATGCAGTGTTAACCAGAAGAGTTTTCCACAGCAAGGCTCCCAGTGGCATTCAGCTACTCCAGTGCAGCAGCCTCCTCCTGCCCCAGGTTATAACTCACACAGAAACCTCTGAGATCTCCTCTACACAAGTGCTGCAGAGACTACACCAGACAGCAATGAAATGCTTTTTACAAGCCCCAAGTGCTCTCTCACAGCACTACTTGAGGACACTAAATCAAGAGTAAAGTCAAGACAATGTATGAATTCAAGTCAGTGACAATGAAGAGCTCTAGATCACACCAACTTGAAGAAAAGGCATTTCATTTTTAAAAAAATGCAAAAGGAGAAATAAAGTCAGACAATTATTCTAGTATCTCCTTCTTGAGCCCTGGTTGAACTTTTGAATTTCAGACATCAGTTCTCATGCTTCTGTTCCACCTTTCACATGCCTTTTCTAAACTTTTTTTTGCCCTCCAGTTTCCCACCTATTGCTGTTGGATATTAGTGTTTCTAAGACTACTCTAAAGACCACAATAAAACCAGTATGTCTGACCAAGACCCCCTCAGGTCTTGCATGCTGTACTGACAGGATTGAGAAAACATTTCTGCCCTGTACCCAAGCCATAAACTCTAGCTGGAGCTGTCCTCAGTGCAAAGGAGCATCCTTCACTTTTATACACTCACAGCACTCCCAACAGCTCAGTTCAGAGACAGGGACATTATTGCAAAGCCACTGCCTTCAGCTGAATTTTTCCAAAGGCAAAGTGGGGATTGTCAAATCACTGCTAGAGAAAATGCCAATAAGAAATCACACAACTTCACTTCCATACCCTATGCTATCTTTCCATAGTAGATATTTAAGAAAAAAAAACCTCTTATGCAAGCCAAGCATCTCAGGTCTAAAATTAGGGGAACAAAAATGCTGATGTGGAATAAGTTCCCTATTTTTATTCAGACACTCTCCAAAAAGTGGAAAAAAAAAAAGGTTGTTTGATAAAAAGATGTCTTCTTCATCAAGAAAAAACATCCTCCAGTCTGGAGGTCCACTGGTTATTGGCATTCATATACATTAAGAAATAAAAAAACCACTATGAAAGTTTAGAATGAAACAGTTTCTGCAGCTAAAACCAGTTTTTGAAGAAAATGAATAAAAAGAGAAATTCATCCAAAGACATTACTTATTCATTAAAAGAGTACATTTACCTTCTTTACATTCAAGACAGTGATAATGAGAAATACATGAGCCTTCACACTGAAACATGCAGGCATTGAGTGACCAAGCTGAGGTACTCAGAATGTTACAAAAGTAAAGACAAAAAACAATGGCAGGTTTTTGTTATCCACTAAATGTCACAGGAAGCCAAGACAAAATACTGAATATCAGGAATGACTGCTTCATGGAAAGAGCTGTCAGAAAAGCCATCTCTTGATCCTAAGCACTGTGCAGAATTTGCTTAAAAATATTAGTGCAACCCTCCCCCAGAATTTAAAGTGACCTAAATATCTGCAGGAGGAGAAAACACCAAGGAATTTAAAGAGAGGAATTAGACAAATAGGAGGCAACAAAGAGAATCATCAAAAACTTGTGTGTAGACCATGAGATATAAGACATTGTATGTGAGGCCCACAAGAAACATAAAAATCACAAAAAAAGAAAAGACTTAAGTGGGGATGAATAATGATGTGACAGGCAAGGAAGGAGATGGCTAAATAACATATTAGAGAAAATATTAGAAGAATCTTGTAAAAGTTGTCCAAATGAGGCTTAAACAATAGCAAGCTAAAACCAGAAAAAAAAATACAAGACAGTCTCAAAAATAAATTAGGGAAGGAAAAAAGAGCATTAAAACTACAACTAAATCATTTCTTGAGACACATAAGAAGCAAGGAGCCTGTCAGGATTGGTAAGGGTACAGCAAGTAAACAAATAGAAGCATTAAGAAAAAAAGCTTAAATAACCAAAAGTGAGGGGAAACCCAGAATTATTTTTTGCATGTTCATTAGGGAGGAACTTAAAGATATTCTCCCAGTGAAAGGCCTTCATGGACTATGCATTAGAGGATTTGTTTCAAAGCAAACACTGCTAGAAAAAAAAAGACAAAAACAGTACAGAGAAAATGGACAAGTGAAAAATTAGCAAACCACCAAGAGTGGATGACATTCAGCCAAGAGTCCTAAGGAAATTCAAGGACCTCAGAATTGCACTAATAATTTCAGCATGTTAATGCTTGCTTTGTGCTTCACTGGTACGAGAGGAGCAAACAACTGCTTTTATTTATAATTTATTTATTTATTAAGCTTTCAAAAGACAAACTGCAGTTACCCGAAGTCTCTAATAAGAAAGTGCCTGAGATGACAAAGTCAGCTAATAGCACTAAATTCTTCATGTAACTAAAGAGACTGTGGAGAATGGCAGAAGAACCATCCAAGATTGAGTTACTGTGCCATATGTTGACAGATGTAACTCTGTGTGCAGAGAATTCAAGTGGAAGTGACAAGCTAGATGCTGTCACTCCTGGATTACCCTAACTTTTTTATTTATTTTAAAAAGCCCTATTTTTTCATTCTTGAGTTTTTTATGATTTTAATGTTTTGTGTTTTATAAAGCTATTTTGTGAAGGTAAATGCCATAAGGAAGGGTGACATGGATGATGAGGAACATCTGACTCTCCACAAGCACTCTTCTCTTCACCATAATGAAAAGTGTGTGTGTGTGTGTGAAGTATTTCTGTTCTTACTATGAATTTTATTTACAATTGAAAATATATAAGGAAATATATCTTGTGTTTCTTGGAAGTTACTGTCACACTAACTCACCTTGATTTTCCTGGAGAATAAGACATGCAACACCTTGGCACAGTATAGTTCATGGCAGAAAGCATGAAGAGAGAGGGAATCCCAGTTTAAACAATACAGCCTGATTACACCAGAATGACCTTGAAGAAGCAGTTGAGCAATTAGAAAATAAGCACTGAGAGAGTGCCACAATTTGCTCTAATAGCCTGTCACTACTGCAATCAGACCTCCAGGAGGCTGAGTGACACATTACTAGACAACACACCCCCATCTGCCTCACAACTGAAGCCTGCTGAAGACACACAAACATCATGAAAGCGAGAGTGATGCAAGATCTCAGGAGAGCTCAGGAAAAGAAAGGCACAGGAAGGAAATTTAGATTCAATTCGCCATCACTGAACCCTAAACTGTCCAAAAGAAATGTGAGGCTCAAAAAAAAAAAAAAAAAAAAAGCAAGATTGAATCAAATTTTTTCCAAAGAGAAACAGCAAGGATAAATTGTACTGATTTCTGATTTTCTCAGGTGCATTAGGAAAGACAGAAGACAGAAAGATCAGAAAAAAACCAATGTTACCAAGAGACAATGACAGCTACACTTACTTGTACAAGGTCCAAATATAATAATTGTATTCCATACCACTTGAATCAATTACCTTATTTTTATATAGGGAGGTGAAGAATCAAGTTGGCTGAAATCAGTCAGTGAGTACCTGACTAACACTAAAGAAACCAGCCTGCTACCCCTCCCCAAATCCCTCCAGATGTCTTGTCCATGCCACTTGTTCTCCTGCCTGCATTTTAAAGCCAAATCCCATTTGCCATCGCTATGCTGTGCTCAGCCTTGCCTCAGGCACCTGGAGCAGCTCTGCTCACCTCCCACTGCCATCACCCACCACTCTTTGGTGGCAGCACTCTCAAGTCCCACTCTCTGCTCCAGACCTGCCACCCTGCAGCTCCAGTGAAGCTCTGACTTGGGCAGGCTTCAGTCACAGCCTGAGCTTTCTCTCCTCTTCCAGCCACAGCTAAACTGGTGACAGAACTGCTGCTGGCAGCTGAGTGATGCTTACAAAATCCTAAGTGACTGCAGATATGAAGAATGATTTATTTATGCCTTTAGTTCAACAGATAGCAAACAATCTGATTTCAGTAAGTGAAAATTCAGGATCCTTCCCCCCTAACAGAAACTGATTTAATGATAAGCCATTGTAAAAGTCAAATGCCTGGTGGATGAGGGGAAAGAATGATGACAAATGTATCAAAGAGACATTCAACAGCAGATAACAAACAAAATCTGATTCTGGACACTCCAGGAATGGTAAGACCTGTGAAGGTGCACAGGAGGATTATTCTGCACGTGCACTGTAATTCTCTCCATTCTCTGGCACCAAGCACTGTCAGACAAGACACCATGCTGGCCAGACCTGTAGCACAGCAAGGCTTTGGGGTTTGCTTCAAACACCTCTCCTGAACACAGGCAGGAGTGACTGCAGCCTCTGCAAAACATGTATTACAGCACTGAAGAGATATTATGATGTAAAGCACAGCAAGTGAACTATCAACACTTATCCCTTCCTTAATCCTCTTTTAAGTCCACATTATACCCAGTTAACATCTGGTACAACCCAGTTTTTTAGAGGAACAGCAAACTGGATCAGTTCTACTTGGCAGCATCATCACTCTTGCCAATGAGATTTCATTTCTTTCAACGTACTGATTATTCTTCATCTGCTTAAGAAAACCATGAGCATTTTAAAGGCATAGAAAGGACACTACCAAGAGACTAAGCAAAGTACTGCCTGGTTTCTCACAGAAAAGGTTGTTCCATACTC